GTGGAGGAAAACAAAAGTGCTTCAACAGGTTGATGGCGCACCAACACCAGTTGGAGCTTCTCATGGCTAGAGACTTAGCAGCCCAAGGAAGATCAATGGAAGAGCGCATTCCCTTGGAGCAGGCATCAGCTCGTGAACATAGTGTTGAAGAGAGACGTCGACATGAACTCACACATCTACCTTACCAGCCTTGGTGTACAGCTTGCCTGAAACACCGAGCCAGGCAAGACCAGCGCCGGAGGACGGGAAGGTCCCATGAGCAGGGATGCCCCACAGTGTCGTTCGACTTTTGCTATGTGAAGTCTTCAGGCTCAGGGGCAATTGGAGAAGAGGCAGAAGATGGTGCACAGGCTGGACTGGAGGTGGAGCGTGGTGCCCTCCTACTCATCGCGGTTTGCTCACAGACAGGCTATTTGCTAGCCTTGCCGGTGAAATCAAAGAATCAAATGAGTCTGATCACCCATGAGCTGCTCGCCTTCACCCAGGCGTTGGGCCACGAGGAGGTTCAGTACTACGGTGACAACGAACCTACGTTGCGCCAGATTCTCAAGCTCTTGGTGACTGCCAGATCGGCGATGGGGCTGAAGACTACGATGAGGACGACAAAGATCTATGACTCGGCAGGGAATGGATTGGTTGAGAATGCCGTCCAAAGGATCCGCTCGCTTGCAGCGACCTTGATGGAGGACCTGGCCGAGAGGATTGAGCTGAGGTTCCAAAGCCAACACCCAATTTGGAGCTGGGCGTGCAGGCATAGTGCATGGCTGATCAACAGATTCCAACCATTCCATGGATCGACGAGCTATGAACTGGCCCATGGTCGTTCCTATGAAGGCAAGTTGTGCAACTTCGGGGAAGTTTGCTTCGCCTACTGCAAGCCGAAACAAGGTTTCAAAGCAGATCCTAAGTGGAAGATTGGCATCTACTTGGGAAAGACGGAAATCCAAGACAACTGGGTGATTGGGGATGCCAACAGGGTCTACTTGAGTAGATCTATGAGGAGGATGGTTGACGCCAGTAAGAAGAACCTCATGTGCTACAAAGGGTTCACCGCCTACAGCTGGGAGTATCAGCAGAACTTTGGAGGCAGAATTGTACCGTCAAAGAGGATGGCCTCGATGGTTGGCATGCCCATGAGCCAGGCGCTGCCCCCGAGCAGCGGAGTGTCGCCGGATGATGTGGATGCTCAGGAGATCCTCGCTTTTGTGAAGTCCCACGCTGGGAAGAGAGAAGAGGCAAAGGACTTGATCGACGAGACACCGACAGGAGAGAAGGGCGATGGAAATGGTGGACCACAAGATCCAGAAGAAAAGAGATTGGCGGAGGACAAACGCAAGGATTATGTGGAGGAAGAGGTTCCAGAGCTTGTGAAGGTGACCTCACCGATGGCTATTGATGAGAGGAGAAATCAGGCCGGTCCTTCAAATCCTCATCATCGACCTCTACATGCTCCTTCGACACCCAGGAGTACGGCCCAGAAGACAGGGAGCCCAGAGTATGAAGAGGTGGAAGGCAAAAAGATGAAGATGACCATCGAGAAACCTATCCATCCGTTGGAAGCACCAACGCCTGATCCCAAGAGATTGAAGCAACAGGAAGAGCCCAATACGGAGAGGAGAGTGGAGATCACACAGGTTGGTGAAGATTCGTACTACCACATGGACTACATCATCGGTGAGGAGGAGTTGACCGTGTGGAACTATGAGGACGGAGAGGAAGATGAAATGGCTCTGGAGATTCCCGAGGCTTTGTGGTCTAGTGCACCGCTTGATCGAGTGCCGCCAGATCCGCCCAAGTGGATTGATGATCTAGCAGATGAAGTGGAGGAGAAGCGACTTGAGAGGCTGGGAGTGATCACCCCGCTGGATAGAAAGATTGAGGGCTACAAGGATCTCACTACGAGGTTCGTGAGAGATTGGAGGGCCAAGCAGAGGACAAATGAACCCGGAGCACCAAAGCAATTTCTCAGAAGATCAAGATTGGTGGCTCGAGAGTACGCAAATGATCGTCGAGATGATGTGCACAGCCCAGCGTCTGGAGGGCAAGCACTACGACTTCTTCCAGCAATCTATTTGATGAAGAAGCAGGAGGAAGAGCATGGAGGACCTCGCTACACGATAGGAGCACTCGACATCAAAGATGCCTTCCTACAGGTCCCTCAAGCGGTTCCAACCCAGGTGAGCACCGCCAGTGGGCATTTCGAAGTGAAACGAAATCTCCCAGGACAACGAATTGGAGCCAAGGCATGGTTCGAGCATTTGACCAACTGGCTGAGGGCTAGAGGCTTCGTCTTTTCCCAGATCAACCCGTGCCTGGGACGTTGTGGACAGAAGATGATGCTGTTGATCCACGTCGATGATGTGATGTTCGTTGGAGAACAAGACTATGTGGTGAACACGTTCATCCCAGACTTGAGGAAGAGCTTCGAGATCGCAGAACAGCATCTGACAGGCATGGACAGTTCCTTCCAATTCTTGCGGAGGACATACGTGGAGATGGAGAAAGGGCTGAAAGTGATGCCTGGTAAGTATGCCGAGCAGATGGTCGAGGCATACGAGGAGCAGATGGGAAGAGTGAAAGGGCAGAAACTTCCTTGCGGCCAGGAGGTGCTTGAGCCTGATGGATCAGTTGAACTGAAGCCCGAGTTGGCAAGCCTCTACCGTTCCTTGGTTGGATGTGGCATATACCTCTCGCAAGAACGGCCCGATGTTTCTTATACCATCAAAGAATTGGCTTCAACGATGTCGCGCCCTACCACCAGCAGTTTGAAGAAGTTGGGAAAACTTGTTGGATACCTCAAGAACACAAGGGGTCAGTATAGCGTGCTTGAAGTGGTGGAACCAGGACATGGCTTGGTGAGCCGCACAGTGGAATCAAGGTGGGTTGCTCGAAACCTTCAGTGATAGTGATTGGTCAGGATCAAAGAGTCACAGGAGGTCAACATCAGCAGCTATCCACATGTTGAATGGGATGATGATCTTCAGCAGCTCTCGAGGTCAAAAGAGTGTGGCATTGTCGTCGGCAGAGGCAGAGCTGAACGCTTTGGTGAGTTCAGCCGCAGATGGTATCTACCTGAAGAGGTGCCTAGAATTTTTGATGGAGGAGACGGTGAGACATGAGTGCCTCGTGGATAACTCGGCTGCACTACACCTTTGTCACCGACGAGGACCAGGCAAGCTGCGTCACATAGCTGGCAAATTGCTGTGGACCCAAGATTTAGTGGCGCAGGAGGAGCTGCAAGTCAAAGCTGTGGGGACCACCTACAATGTGGCCGACCTGGGCACGAAGCCGCTATCGAGATCCAGAATCACTCTGATCCTCTACTGGTGCAACACCAGAAGCAGCACTGACGAGAGAATTGGAGAGGAGGAGCTCACCAGGTTGGAAGAGAGCAAGATGAATGGCATCAAGATCAACAAGCTGGCGAAGCTGTTGAACAGGATCCTCCTCTTCGGGGGTCTTGAGCAGGTGACTGCAGAGAGGTCAGAAGTGGTGGAGGAAGCTCCGATGATTGGCTATGGCACTATGATCTTCATCATGGTACTGATGTTGATGATTGCAGGACTCGCATTGGCTGTGTGGTGGCTATGGCGAGTGGTGGAAGAGCTGAAGGTGAAGATAGCAGACGCAAAGGACAGTGCCTATGTGAACGGTGTCTCAACAAGAGCCTATGTGCAAGGCATGCGAGAAGAGATGAAGGCAATGAAGGGTTACATCGAGAGGATTCATCGAGGACTAGTGAAAGCTTCTGGATATGTTGACAATGAAGAGGTCAAAGAAGAGGATTGGAAGCACTGGGACTACCTTCAACGTTCCAACAGGGATTTCGATTGGAGGAGAATCCATGCCCAAATCAAGGCATACAAGGAAGCTTGTGAGAAGGATGATGGGCCTATGGACTTGAGGCCTTACAGGAACACCGAGGATGAGGCCATGGAGGGTGAAGAGACGGTGACCGTTCGTCTCGACAGTGGTGAAGTGGTCGAGATTCCTGTTCGATTCATCGAGACTCGTGAGCCTGAGAGTGAGGAAGACGTGCCTACGGCATCGATGGAGGTGACTGAGCAGCCAGAGCAAGTGGAGTGGGCAGAAGAAGATCTGCCAGTTCCGGAGTCAGGGATCGAAGATCCAACAGTGAGACAGGCAACAAGTTCCTGGATCACGAAAGATGAGTTTAACGCTCTAGCTGAGTTCGATGGCCCAGAGGCAAGATCAGGTCTCAGGGCAAAGCAGCACATGCTGAAGCTGCAGGACGAGTGGACGAAGGCTGACCGTGAAGGGAACCACGAGAGAAAGCTAGAGATTTATACCATGATGGACGTACACCATCCCTTCATGGATGCAGCCAGCCTCCCTTTCTAGTTGGCAAAGGAACCAGCAAAGCTGAACTCCGATGCCAAAGGAGGAGTGCGCAAATCAGTCCACTCAACTCCGTCTACCGCAGGCCCCCTTTTGAGGTCAAAACAACCTGTCCGCAAAAACCAATTCGGGAGGGTACTCAGTTATCAGTTACTTGTTCTCAATGGTTTTCTCCGAAAATGTGTCGAGAATTTTGATGAAACCTAAGTGGGGGAATGCAATTAATTGGCATGATAACCAGGAGGTTGTGGAGAGGCTGCGCACCCCTCAACTAATAATCAAGATGAATTAGGCCATCAACTAGAATTGATCAAACGTGTGTTTTCATAGACTTACAAAAGCAAAAAATATGAAAGGACCCTCATAGTATACCGGTGGGTTAATTTATTGTAGAGTTTTGCCAGGGGTAGGGCGGTTCAAAATTAACGACGTATCTCCAATAGTATTCGGCCAGTGGGAAGCCTCCTCAAGCAGAATCCGTAGAAAATTAATCCAGGCCTAGGGCCTAGAGTCTGGCTCAATTAGTCTAAAAAACGCATAGGTGCAATCAATTACATGATTTTTTTGCAATATGGGTAATATTCTAGCATTCCAATTGGCTTGTAAATGGAAGGGAAGGGAAGGGGAGGGGAGGGAAGGGAAGGAGGAGTTAGCTGTGATAAAATCTAACCCTCACCTGGCATTTGGGATGTGCGTGAAAGATACTGAACGAGATGGAAAGCCAGAGCTGAAGACCAAACAAGTGTAAAATTGCACAATTGATTGCTCTACACTATCATCTCACAATCTCCCACCGAAAAACGCCTGAAATGCTGTGCTTGCTTATGGCATCCACAAGCATGTAGTTTTGGCTGGCCCCGTTCTTTTTGTGATCATCAGATTGGATGAAGATGACAGTGTTCTTTGGACCCTAGCGCGAAACTGATTGTGGCATGCAATGACACAACAGTGTATACTGCATTTCTTGACAACGCAGTAGTTGCTGTGCAGATGTTTTATTGACACCTATTTCAAGGCTTTCTGGCTTCATTGAATAGCGGCCACAGGTTTACCAGGTCTGAGTGCCCACCACTATTTTTGCTAATTTTTCACGCTCCTCTTTGCTTGGTTTTGGTTGTAAATCCCTTCACATTGGATCGGTTAGTCATTTGGCGGGATAAGGACAGACAATTGATCAGACGCACGACATGGTATACATAGCAAAATGCTGAGTGTCTACTTGCTGGGGAGGCATCTTTCATCGAACGTTCTCTCCTTCCCGGGCCACCTGATAAGTTCTGAGACGCAAATTGTTCAGTTCAGATGATGACAGCAAACCTCACTAGGCCTAAACCTAAGCCACACCAAGCTATCACGCAGCATTTTGCGGCATTATGACCTTTCTGGTCAAAGTTAAAGGCCCGGAGTCGGATGCACTGATTGTTGCCAACTGGATGCTGCAACTGCAAGTTGCCCAGGCCTCCTTGAAACGTGTCAAGTCTCATGTTTTCCAGGTTTGCAGCGCAAGCCGCAGCATATCCACAGTCCATTGTGCCGCCTTTCTTGCCATCCCTGAAAATGGAGGCGGGAAGGATTTGCAAGCGGCCCCTGCAGACTGCGCTGCGCGGTTGTGTTGAATGTTTTGGACACGAGCGTGTTCGGCCCTTCCAACGCCAACATTAAAGGGTAAAAATTCACGATTTCATCGCTATTTTTTAGAGACACAAGTAGGGGTCCAGATTTCATTGACCCCAGCAAAGGCTCCAGTGCTGGATGGAACTTGGACACCTGTCCCCATCGTTGTCAGTGGCCCAGTTACACTACTTTTGTGGTAGGGTTTGACAAGGACCACCAAGCAGGTATACAGCAGCGGTTGTAACAGTCCAAAGGCTTTTGTTACACCACCCTGACTCTGAAACTACACTCAGAAGTCCAAGCAAAAACAGGCTTGTGTAGGTCCAAAAAGATCAAGTTCAAAGGGGATGCCACTCTAGGGTGGGAGCTGAAGCAGATCTGACTGCTGATTCATTGTATGCGAGACTGATTTTTCTGTGGGAGTTGGTGTAATACAGAGACCCCCAAGGCAGGGAGAGCTAAGGACTCACGACTCAGAAAGCTCTTATGGGCAAACCCTGCTCACAACTCAAGCAGAAACTCGCAACCTAGGTTTAATCTCTGGGGCCCTGGGGGTGTTCAGGACTCTTGGGAGATACAGCATTGCCTGTTGTCTTTGGGAATCTCAGTCACCTCAAAACTTGGTCAACGTGTTGGGTAACTGGTGTTCAACCCACCGGATGTCACTACTAGTAAGGCACTTGTTACTAATAGCTTTTTGTTACTACTAGTAAGGCACTTGTTACTACTAGCGTGGCACTTGTTTCTAATAGCTTCTTGTTACTACTAGTAACAGGTTTTGATCATGTACATTTTTAAAGTTCTGGATGTGTTCGAGAGCTCTCATCAGACTGAGAGCAAATACTTGTGAATCACAAGAGACGGACGGAGAGGACAGCTACTCTGCAATCTGTCATCCCAAGGCTGCTCCAGCTCCAGTTATTATGGCCACACCAGTCTGCATCCCAAGATGGTGTCCAAACCAGTGAGATTGATGATTTGATATGGAAAGGCTCTCACGAAACTCACGAAACCCAAGATTTTTCCTGGATACTAAGGCTCAGGCAGAGGCCCAAGCTGCAGCTCAAGCAGCAGCTCAAGCAGCAGCTCAAGCAGCGGTGCCCTCCAAGGCATGGGTGACCTTGAGAAGGTCTAAAATCTTTAGGATTCAAACATATATACGGTATATATATACATGCTAGCGCCCTCCAAAACCCACCTTTGACTCATGTTGCTCATTGCTCACAATATTATTCCCGATTGCTTCTGGAGATAAATCTCACACCCAAGGCCCCCTTTATTCTGGGAGACACCTTCTTTTTGAACGACTCCCTTCACACTTTATATAAGTCTCTTTGGAGTTGAAACGTGGCTTCGAAGCGCACCTCGTTTAGTCCTTGGAAACTAGCATACCAATGCTATGTAGTTACCCTAGGCTTGGAGTTTGTGTGCTTGGCCTTCTCCAGAGCTTGAGAAGATGGTTTGGGGCTTGAGTGAAGTCGTCAGTGGTGCGGTAGCAAAGTGTGAAGTTGATTTCAATTGTGCATTGCAAAAAGATTGTGCACAAAAGCAGGAAATCAGTCGGTGCGGCTCTTTTTGACAATGCTGCAACCCGCAAGCTTTGCACTTCAGACGGTTGTGATTGGCCCATAGCAGATGGTGGAGGTTGCCAGTCTACAGCAGATTGGTCACGACTGCGCCGGCCCACTGACCATTTTCGTGGCTTGCGAGCAGAGTTTGCAACATTTTTGCAACAATGGGGTCTAGTTGACTGCTTCAAATCATTGGGAATCATTCAGACGCCTCCTCATTATCTAGAGATGAACTTGAACAGGTTCGCGCTTCATTGGGCGCTGTTTTTTGCGAGCAGGGTTTCGCTTGCATGGATGAAGTTCAAGAATTCCAGGCGAGGCTGACTTTAATTTACTGCAACTGTTGCAGCAAGGGGTACCGACAGGCATTTTGCAGCCCGTTGCAGCATCACGCGTGTGGGAAGAAGTTGATTGTGTAGCTGATTCAGATGTAGAGCTCCTGGTGCACACAAACCATGGGCTAGCTCTTTGCGATGCCCAAGCCTTACCGATCAGCTCATTGAACATGTTTTCGCTGGGCACTTATATTTCAAATTGGTGGGGTAGCGGAAGAGCTTTTGGCTCGAAAAGGTATGTCATGTCGTTTTGGTCAAAAGCCGCGCCTGGTGGATGGCCCGTAAAGGTATGTCGTCCAGACGTGGAATCGGTGCAGCGTTTTGTTTCAACTCACCGTCGCGCTGATGTCCTGCAGCTGTTTACTTTCCTTTGCGCTCTAGGCGTGCCCCTCAATTGGGAAAGGGTATTCTTTGGAAACGATTTCAAGTTGGCTTTAACTTTTTTCTGGTGGAAAAAAACTGGAAGGTCGTCCTGACAGGTGTCTCATGGAGGAGACGGAAAGGCAATCTGTGGAGATAACGCCCTGCTTAACGGATTCGGACCTCAGCAGCCAGGGAGGTTACTGCGCTGCATCTTGTCAGTGGGAGGAGAAGGCCACATGATTTGCATTGGGCAAATCCCGCCAAGCAGCATCCTGAGCATTGCTTCCGTCGACGATGACAAATTGGAGCGTGCGATGAGCTCCTAAGATTTAGTGTGGGGTCCATGTTGATGCAAGCAGAGGCAGGACACCTTGCTCTACCCTAGAGAAGCAAATGAGGACGACACAGCCTCACGACTTCGTCCATAGGCTTCAAGGGATGACAGTGGCTTACAGGTGAACCCAAAGAATTGCCAGCTGACGCGTGTAGGCTGTTAGGCTGTTAGCACATTTCCGTTTGGTGTGGCTTCATGAGAAAAACCACATGGTAGAAACCCCGGAAGAGTTGAGATGGATCAGGCAGCATGTCGCGGACATGAACAGCAATAGGCAATAAGCATCTACCACCTCTCATTCAGAATTCCGTAAAGGCGCCGAATCATCCGAACCCAGGCGCGACATGGACATGAATCAATTGACATGTTTTTTTGAGAAAGTCTTTTTGTCCTCATTCTTCCAAACAAAGCACTATTCTTTTTTTCGAGGTAAAGTTGGATGCATGACACCCAAAATCAAAGCGTCTATGTTGTTTCTTTTTTGCTTGCAGATTGTATGGTCGACATGGAAAACTATGTGTTGTGGGTTTTGCAGGACAAACGAACGTGTGTCGTGTCACATTTTTTGTTAGAAGTCATAAGTCTTCACGGGTTGAGGTCTTCCCTTTCCACGTCCTCGCTGCTTCAATTGTGTTCATGCAGCTTGAGACCTTTTTGGCCGCTTTTCCCAAGAAAGCAGAGCTGCCCTATCCCATCCCCCTTTCGTCCACCCTGGTCGACCCCTTTGTCTTTAAGAAACTCAAAATATTGTATACGTGTCCGATGTATGATGCTGCTGCAGTTGGTCTATGCTTAAGAGCAAAAACAGCTTGCATACACTTGCGTTCACTGCTCGATTCGTGCATTTCAACATGTGCTTAACTCATACGTAGGCCACTTGCCAGATGACACACACATATATATATATAATATATTGTTTGAAACTCCTTCATACCCCCTTTTGCAGATGACAAAGTGGTTTTGGCGACAATCTTGCGACAAAGACTATGTTATAAAGACATGAAACACAAATTCAGTGCCCCCACATTGCGAATCTTTTAATCACACATCTCTTCAAAAGCGATCGTTTTGTTGAAACGATGAGGATGACAACGTTCTGACCTTGGACAGTTCTTCTTTCACTATGCCGAGAAAAACATCACGTTCTGGGTGGCAAACATTTTGGCAGCATAAACATAAGCAAGGCCTCTTCGTATACAAAGGACGTGTGAATGCATGAAAAATTATTGTTTCTTGAGGCACCTGCGCTGACACCCTTGCCAGCCGGGCCAGTATCTCCGACAAGTGCGAAGGCATGCTGATTGGTGCATGTATTGTTTTCTCAGAACCCAGCAATTCGTGGCAGACAAACCGTAAACAGACTGCATTACTTGAGGTGCAGCGGCCAGATCCCAGTACGAAAAACCATGAGAACTCCTCACTCCTCCATTGTTCCTAAAGATTCGATGAAGGCTGCTGTAGCAGTGGGTGGTGATCAGGTGATAAAGGCGAATGGCTAGCATCTCAAGTGCGTGAACTCATAGAGACGAAACACGCTACTGTAGCACAACCATAACAAGTTCTTTGTAAACCACTGAATGTTCAAAGGCAAGCTTGAACTATTGGCAGTGAGGTCTTGCGTACTACGAGGATTGTATAAGAATCGCAGAAAGTAAATTGCTGCTTTGGTGCCATGAGTTCTAATTGTACTGACTTTGCACATGCGAGAGATTCATCAGACTGACCTCGTGCAAAGAAGCCAGAAGTGAAGAGTTGTTCTGATGAATGGACTGAATGGAGAAACACAGAATGATTTGAGATTTGAGTAAAAATATTGGCAGGGTGGCCAATCCTCATTCAGTTGTCCTTGGAGTAGCTAGTAGAAAGAATCTGAAACAAAAAGCAGAAAAACATGTGTTTGTCACACCGCTGAGTGTTGTTTGTCCACGGACTTATCCATTTTGCACATACTGCGCCCGTGAAGGCCTCTGAAACTCAGAAGCTGAAGGCCAACAACAAGATCAACAAGGCACAGTTGCATCTTGTTTTGATAGCTTTACCTTCAGGTTTCAGTTGGTTGGGAAGGGACACATGGAGATTTGACACTTTAAGTGTTATGACACCAATCTTGATGCCATTTTGGCTCAAGATTGGGTGCCTCCAGTTTCATTTTGTAATGCCCGCCATCCTTACCTCGGAGCTCTCATCCTGGCGCTTGGGGGCGAGGAGGTGGCGGTGCGAGAGCCGGGGTGGGATTTGCGCGCTCGCGCTCGCGCGCGTGCTGTCGCGTGAAGAGGGCTGGAGTCGCTCGCGGCAAGGCTGTTACCGGCATCAGCCGGTGGTGCTCTCAGCTCTGTATCAGAGCTGCGACGCGGAGCATCGCGTGTGCGACAAGTGCTTCCGCCAGGGCGGGAGAATGGACACCAGTGCTATGAAGCCGCAGAAGGCCCCGAGACGGAGGACATGGTCAAGGCCTATGGGCTTGGAACCCAAGACCAAAGCCCAGTCTTCACAGTGCCGTCGACCTTGCCAAGCTGGGCCGCACCCTCAACATGTTTGCGCCGCAATGAACCCAGGACCAAGCCATGACTGGTGATCCAGGACCAAGCCATGACCGGTGATCTCTAAAAGCTCTTGATTGACCGCCAGAACACGCAGAAGATGGCTTTACCATCTTGGAACTTAGGCATAAGTGTTACTTTAGGGGGCATAGCGCACCCTTTTGTAGCTTGGGGCCCAAAGGACAGTACACGTACTGTCAGGTGGGGGGCTCGAGCAGCCATAGGATGGTGCGGCTGCGCTTTTGCCTAGCGCTTTTGGTTGCCGTGCATGGATGGTGGCCAAGCGGCAACGCCTCCGAAGCAGCGGCGACCCCAGAGGTGGGCCCGTGGCAGGAAGCGGCCAGGAAACGCTTTCCTGCCCTAGAGGGCCAGTGGACCAAGCTCGAAGAGGGCATGCAACAAGCCTTCACCTGGGCTACGGCGGGAGCTGGCGGTCAGAGTCAGCCCTTCGAAACCGGACTATGGATGGTGGTGGACACCATCGTGGGGTTGGTTGGCTGGGCTTTGTTCGGGGCAGCCTGGACCAACGTGAGGACAGGATGCAAGAGGGTGATGCAAATCGCCCTAGTGTTGGGACTATGCCTGGTAGCCCACTACGTGTGGGCTGTTTGCTACCCGGTCGTCTCCGTGGTGGTGGCAGTGGCTATGGCGGTGATCTGGATTTGCCGCAAGGTGCTCAAGCTGGTGGGAGCGTGGATGTTCTGGCTCCAACGAGTGACTGGCGGCTCACCGGAAGCAGCAGAGGCTGAGTTCCATGGCCCGGTACGGGTCGCACTCCGGAGACCTCGCAGTTGAGGGCCTTCAAGAGGACTGGAGACAGCCAGAAGCTCCTGGTGGTCAAGCGGAACGACGAGGTGGCCATGGTGCAAGTGGGGTCGGACACTCAGTCGATCAAGACGCACGGGCTCTACGTACCCATTGAACCTGCTTCAGCTCGAGGTTCAGTGGGTTTGGTGAAGAGGTTACGGGATGTGGAGAAGATCCACCTGTGCCGGAACGAGGCCTGCGCTGAGGAGGGTGGCGAACACTTCACCATCTATGGGTTGGTGAGGCCAAGCGACCCGGAAACCTTCCAGCTGACGCAAGCGCAACAAGGAGCCCGGACGCTCTCCAGAAGGCCATGGACCTGGATGACAGGACCTCAGGTCACGCAAGCTACGATGGGAGTGATGCAGCGCACCAAGGAGCTGGGGTCCGAGTCGGAACAGGAAGAAGAAGTACTGAGCTGCGCGGCGAGCCGTGTCTCTCTCGGCTTGGTGCTGAGGGGCCGGCCCACTTAGCTAGCCGGCCGTGCGATGGGAAAGCCCCGCGGGCTTGGCTGACCATGCCTTCGACCTTCGACCTCGAACGACCAAACTGAAGTCCTGCCATCGACCAAGCAAGATCGTCTGTGTAACGTCCAAGGCTGCCAACGATCCCATGATGGTCTCCGTGGCCCGTTTGAGAGCCTAGACGCCTGCGTCCAAATGCAGCTGCTGAGGAGAGGTGGGCTGAAGAGGATGAAGATGGAGACGCCCACCTCGGTTACGACCAAGATCAAGGAGCTCAGGGCGAAGCTGCAGAAGGACAAGACGGACAAGATCCAGGACGGAAAGAAACGGGCGAAGGCAGGCGCTTAACAAGAAGGAGGGCCAACGGCGCAAGAAGGCGGAGAAGACGGAGAAGATCGCGGAGGTCGTGCGGGCGGAGAAGGACGGCGAGTACGCCCCGAGGAGTTCCAGGTCGACCATACCAAGGACGAGGATGTCAAGGAGATCGTGGAGGGCCCAGACCAGGAGTGGCGTTGCAGTGTTCACCCCAAAAATTACCCACATCCAGGACGCCGAGGGATGACCGCCCCGCAAGAATAAGTCACTGGTTCGGCGAGCACAGGAGTGGGCACTTCACCAACGCTCCAAGCCTTTTTTGAGGAAGCCTCGGACGACCTCTACGCCTGGGCAGCAGCTCGCATGGCACGGGACCCCACCTTGGAGGTGGTACCCTTGTTGCAAGAAATGGCAACCTACGGGCTGGGCGAGTTGGCCAAGGAAGCGCAGACATGCTGGAGGGTCAGGGGGACCAGAAAGCAGGGTCGGCACGCTTAGTGGTCAGGGACACTCTTTTTGGTCTGAGGGACAACCCGGCCAAGGCAGCGCGGAGCTCGATGGCAAGCTGTGGCGGCTATGGGACTACCAATGCGTCACGGTCACCATGATGGCCACGGTAGTCGAATGGCATGAGCGGGGAGCTCAGGCGCTGCGAGAGGAACAGACTCGTCTGGCCCTTGAAGCTTCGCGTGCAATGGGCGAGCCGGAGGAGGTGGTCGCTACGATCTGGTCGCTGCTCATCGCGAGAAAGATTTCAGATCACTGCCGCTTGGTGGTCTTCTGCGCGGACTACAAGGGGGGTTTGGTCGTCGAAAGTGTGGCGGGCCAGCGCTACCCGGCGGGTGGAAGGCGCGTGCCCTCATTTGGAAGGGACGCATGGTGTTGCTGGAGCCCCCGGAGGATGTGGATCTGGAGACGCTCTTGGCCAAGGAGGAGCTTCAGGCAACACCCGCGCTCGGCTTCTCGTTCTTCTGGCACGCCCGACACGATCAAGCAGCCGCCGCCCCAGGGCGAGTCCATTGCAGGTTGTGCAAGGCATCCCCGAGGCAGGAACTCCACATGGACTACCACGCCATAGTTGTTTGAGTATGACCGCGGCCACAGCTGGGACTTCCACATCGTCGAGCGCTTCACAGTGCTTCGGGGTGTACGAGCTGCAGGCGGCCCACACCCTCCAGACGCCCTGGTGCTGCGTGAGTTCTTCGCGGGCAAAGGGGTGATTACCAAGGAGTGGCAGCAGAACGGCATCGCCCTGGAGCCAATTGAGGTCTACACCGAACCCCATCGGCGAGGGTATCGTGAAGCACATCATTGAGCCAGGCTGGTCCTCGTGCTCAATTCCTTCAAGAAGCTCGCCAAGGGCCTTCCAACGTGCACTGGGTGGCGGCTCCGTGTACCAGTTATTGCGACTGGCAGTTGCAAAACGGCGGTTCCAGGACGTTCGATCAACCAGCTGGAACCGGGCTTGGACCGCTGGCGGAGGCAGAACGGCTGGGCAACCATCTCAGTGAGTATGCGGCCGAGATCTTTGAAGCATCGATCGACAACGGGGGCTTTCCGGTGGCGGAGTCATCAGCCGCCAGTGGTTTGGGGCCACCGGATGAGCCCAATGCCTTCTACGTCCATCGCGCCAGACTCGTGTTCCCTCGACATGGACCCCTACGGCGTCTTCTACAACGCCAGTGCCCAGGCCTGTCCAGTACCCACAAACACGTGGCATTGAAAGGGTGCCGTGAAGGCCAGAAAGTCACCCGCTGCACGGAGGCCGGGGTCGTCTATGCCCCCAACTTTTTGTCTTGGGGTCTGGTTTCGCCACAGCAACGGCAGGGAGCGACTGGTGGCCTCTTCTTCGTCAGCTCCGACGAGTTGGTCCCCGAGTGGAGATTGGGAGGATATAGCCACCCACCATATCGACGGGTAGGGAAAGGAAAGGCCAAAGGAGAAAAAGGGAAGAGGGCTCCGATGCCAACGAGGGTGCCAGAGGAGGTCCGAGGGGTCTGGCTTGATTTACCGGAGAGCACTTCAACCAGCGCTACATTCGGGCATGCAGCGGGGCCTGGAGATGAGTGGGCCGGACGGGCAAACCACTGGAACTATGACCCCAGGAGGCGACAGCTGTGGAGGATCCATGACGTGCCCAGAACGCACCTCTACGTCCCCCAGGAGCTCGGACTACCCACACCACTGGCTCACCTCATTGATGAGCGGAGGACCTACATCAAGACCCGGGCGAGAACGTCGTCATCACGGACAATTGGAGGACCGCGGGTGCTGCTGACCTGGGCTATGGGAACTGGACGGGGACCACGGTCTTCACCACGAGGGAGCTCCCGGTCGCGGACGACCCCAACGTGCCCACCGACGACGAGGACTGGTACTACGAGGAGGACGACGACGACCAAGATGATTCCGAATAGATACCGGACCCGACGCAGCCCAGGAGGTGAAGATCGAAGAGGCTGGAACGCAGTGTCAAAATATATAGCGCTGCTGTTCAAGAGAAGAGAGTAGGGTCTGAGTCTGAGACACACCATCTTGCTGTGAGTGCAGAGTTTGGGGTCTCTATGTCAAAGAGAGGACGCTAACTCCCAGGGTTGTGTCTGACCTGTGTGTTTCTTATCGTCGATCAATGCAAATGGTTGGCTGGGAAGGGACACATATGAGGTTCAGTGTTATGACGCCCATTTTGGCTCGGCCTTGACACCCTCTGCGGGTAGTATAGGGTTGGGTTTCAGGGATTTCCTGTACCTATCTTGTTTGTCCCGCAGGGGTGATCGGTAAGTTCATCCAAGACGACTTATCCAGCTAGCCTGTGTGTCTTGAAGCCACGACTACGACTGAAGCCCAGTGTTATATAAAATGCTGCTGCTCAAACAGATGAGAGTCAGGTCTCAGACACACCATCTTGTTGCGAGTGCAGAGTTAGGGCCTCTAAGTGAGTTGAGCGCGAAGCTAGAAAGAGAGGGCGCTGACTCCCAGGGTTGCGTCTTACCTTTGTGTTTTTTTGTGTGACCCTGCAGATTTCTGGTCAATAGTCTTAGTCTGGGTCAGTTGTACAGTTATGGACTAAATTGTACCTGATATTCTTCTGTTTCAAGGAGAATGCGCACTACAACAAGGCAGAGGGCCTGGGAGGTGTTGCGTTCAGCGTTGGATTTTTGAGGGTTTGTGAATCCTGTGCCACAGAAGTGGTCATACTATATGATTTCATTTTGCCAGCTGCCTTGGTACTACAGTAATTGTTCTATATTGTTCTGCATTGTTTGATGTTTTTGTTTCAGTATTGATGCAAAGAAATGTTTGCTGTCTTGATATTTATCCTGTCCCTGCATCTACTGTTGTCAGACCGAACATGTCGGAAAAGAAACAACGGTATATATGTCAGAGGGGATTGTTCATTCTTCGCTTCGAACCTGTCATATAAATCATGTTCAGAGCGGCGCTCAGCTTGGAAGAAATTGCAAGTAAAGCTAACGAGCTAACCATGGTTTAAAACTAAATAGATGGCAATTACGTATACAGCCAGTACCGATGAAACAAGAGTGTATATAAATCTTGTTCGCCACCAAAACACGAAGGAAAACCACTTCAGATTTCAGGTAACATGAAACTGTGCCTCGGGTCAGATCGCTCTGTCAGAGGACAAATGCGGCAAATTCAAGGGAAGGCCATGGAGTGACTTTCGGGGGAGGTGAGAACATATAGGGTGACCGGACCAATGTTTTTGCAGTGGGGATAAGTCATAGAGAAATTCTATTCCAGTCAGAGACTCGTCATTTTGTGGCTGCGGCTGGAAAAGATGTGTGGAAAGCGGCATGTCATCCAAAGACTGCTGGAGGATCACCCACCGACGTACTGCGGGCGGCTGAAAGTTAGCGTGCATCCAGGATGACATTTGGATGCTTCGTTTCCATGCAGTTGAACCATCATGTGGCCAGTAGGTGCATGAATCATCGAGATTCTTTTTACATTGATAAGAGCCAATAGTGGCAGCTCAGCCCTGAATATCCAACCCGCGGGAAGAGCAGAGCAACCATGCGGAGGAGCATGTGTTTTGTCAAGTGCCATTATTTCACAGACATGGCCCGACACGACTATATAATATTCTTGCATTTTCACTAGTGACACTGGTACTTGCCCGACGAAGCTGGGCTTGGGTGGGCGGGATACCTGCGATATTTGCAATTGTTGAAGTGAGCGTGTTGCAAGGCTTAACCAGAACAAAGAGAACATTCGAGGGGATGAGCCTCAGGAGCAGGTGCAAGAGATGACTGAAAAGGACCTCGTGACTATCAAGCTGCGCTGTAGCAAAGCTTTGTTTGTCGGAAATGACACCTCGACAGTTTGATTGCTGCTGGAAGGAATGCATTTTTATACATTTGTATGCCCTAAATCGTCATGCAAACAGGCATTGTGTGCTTAAGGAGTTGAAGAAGATTTCGTGACTAGTGCTCCACTAAATCATAGCAGCTATCCACCTTTGAAGCCGTTCAACTGCAGACACGTTGTGATGTCTTGGAGCAGATAGCCAGACAGCTACATTACTGAAGGTGTGCATTGGTTATTTAGGTCTTCGACGCGGCTTCTTACTAAGGGGAACCGTGCGCTAATTGTAAGACGTCAGGCCGTCAGGTGTACCTTGACCGCTGCAACAAGAATGCTTCCAAGAGGAAAGTAATGGAAAGTATGTCCTTATGCCGATTCCTGGACGGCGGCAGTACCCTCAGTTGTCTCCTCTGCTCTTTTGCTCCAGTGTTCTTTACACAAGATGGAAAAGTGGCACACAGGCTGGCTATATTCCTTGTCACTAGGTAGATCCCACAAGGTAGCGGACGTTCCCATCTGAGCCTATGCCGAACCTACAGAAAGGTTTTGTTGTTGACATCAGGTTTACGTTGATTTGTGACAGGCGCCGTCATGTGCAATCAATCATGTGTGATGCGCCTCATGTTGGTGTGAAAGGTTTTGAGCAGACTAAACACTCTTGGCATATTGCATTTCTTTTGCCTTCTACTCTTTTCTGATCCGTCTCTGTAGAAGCCTCCATGCCGGCGCCGAGATTCCAAATCTGCGCTGCACTGATACACCGATATATCCACCCCCCCTTCCCGGCATATGCGGCATATGTCATCCAGGATATCGGCGTATCGGCACATCCGCGCCGCCCAGTTAAAAACCGCCATGCCACCGGGCAGGAAATCGCTACTTATTGTACTTCCTCCGGATTCCTCTGGACTCCAGGATGCTCTAATTGTCTACTTTAGTTTCTTTTGTTGCCAGAAAGCTGAAAGCTGTAGTTTTCTTTTTTAAACATATTTCGGTATTTTTGTACATTATTAGTACATTTCTCAAAACATATTTGCCTGCTCGAAACCCTTGTTTTCTGCACATCTCTCTGGGCATCTCTCCGTTCTTGTCCTTTTCTGCTTTTGTTTGCTTCTATCAACATCTCTGACGCAGCGCTGCGATTTGCAACGAGTTGTGTTTCCAACTGCGCGAGCAAGCAAACTCCTGGGGCCAGCACACCACCCATCAGTCCGGCAACCATTGACAATCTTGGCACCGCCACAAAACCTTTCTGATTTGCTGGCTGAATGATGAGATAGCTCTTTGATGAGCTAACTGAGTGCCCAGGTGGCCATTGGGATGGTTCCAATGTCCATAAGTGGGAAGTTTCTTCGCTAAGCCTCCTTTGATAACATTTCACGTAAAATATGACCAAGTCAAACGGGAGTGATGTTTTCCAGTTCTGACTTGGGGGGCCTTTTTCTATCATTTGGGATGCTTTTGCCCATTCCCCACTTTCTGGTGGCGTGCTTCTTTCCATCAGATAGTAATTTGTTTTGATTTCTTTCCTTTCTGCGTGTCTTCCTGTAATTCCGCGTTTGACCTGTTGTGAACTCTTGTAAATATATATACAGTAATTCTTTTGTCTAGAGGCAGACACATACCTCAGCAACCTGCAGCGGGAAGGATCGATAATTATTGAATGAGAGTCAATAATTGGCCCCTGTTTCAGCTGAACAACTCAGCAAGAAAGAGCGATGGTATCCCACACGAGAAGACAAGTGAGCAGGGACAACCATCTGGCAAAACATGGAGAAGACGAGCACACGAACCTCAACTCAAGACCGTACAGTACAGACCCTAATCAACCCTCTTTAGTTTTCGCATTTTTCCTGAGTTTACACACAGTTTTGTTTCAATAATTCCAGGAACCATTGTTTAGCGATATTTTGCTGTTAGCGATATTTTGCTGTTCTTTTTGCTTTTTGTATGTCCTGTTTTCTTGCGCACAATTGCTGGCACGTTCTTGAACATTGTTGGTGCAGGCCTACTGAGACGAAGCACAGGGAGAACCGGGAACCCGCGGGCTTAGAAGCGCTGATTTCCAGCATGAGCCCGGGGCCGACTTTGCAATGCGGTCGCATGCATTGAGACCGTTGGCACCGGGGATGCAATCATGCTGGTCTAGGCAAGCGTTTTTTGGCCTTAGGCTGGGCATGGAGACAATTTGTTTCAAGACAACATATATATATATACACAATATATATATATATATACACATATAATATATGTATATACACATATTCTGCAATCAAGGTTTGGAACAAAAAACAGTACATTCCTGATTCTATGGGCCCTTCCCAAATGCCTGGGGGCATGAGAGATAGGGCCTAGGCCCAGCAGATCTTAATTCAAAGATCATGTAGGCGATGGGGAAATCGGCTCTTTAGATGCACATAGCGAAGACGTATCCACCTGGACACGCAACCATGCAGGGGAGTGTCGACTGATAAGGAAGTAATAAGCCCATGATTACGTAGTGGGAGCCGCTTTTCCGTTGCTAATAGTTTTTGACATGTGCACGCTTAGAAGCTGCCTACTCAAAGCAGCCATATTTCGAAGCGCAGTCAGGGTTGCGAGACCTTCAACATGCGTGTCATCTCAACTACACTCAGCTCCACATGGCAACCCTGCAATGGATTTCATTACGAGTGGCACTCTTGTGACCAACTCCGACGCAATCAGCACCGTCGAGCTAATGTCGCCTGGCGAATCCTGCTAGCACAATCCCACCTTCACAACAGAGTTGCTGTTGAAAGCCCTGGTTCGACTACTTGATTCATTGCAGTCTTTCAACTTACTTGTGTTTGTGGCGTCAATGTAGCAAGCTGCTCTTGTTCCAGCTGTTGCACCGTATTTACGGTATGCTGGGCAGTAAGAGAGACATTTTCGGCTCATGTGCAAATGGCAATGCGAGAAAGAAAAGGCTACAGTCACTGGCAGGCCACACACGACCAGACAATCTATTCTCAATTCTTACATGAGTTTCAAAGCAAGGAGGCACCCAATGCTTCCTTTCACTCTGTGGCAGCGTTTACTCATGTCGTGGTCGGATGGCACCTTTTGACACGTGCAGCGTGCATCATGAAAGTTCCTTTAATGGCCGTATCCGTATTTTCTCAAAATCACCCGTGCAGTCTGTGCAGCCCTGGCTCACACGGTGTGAGAACGACCTGCAGCTGTTTGCCAGCTTCCAGTTTTTCAGGGCAGCCTAGGTATTTTAGGGAGGCGTGCGGGAGAGGACAGAAGGTGATACCCTTGGAAGAGCAATAATCAGCTTTCCATGTTTCTGCAAAGAGCTTTGTAGGAGGAAACAGGGGATCAAACACCTTTTTTGCAAGATCTAAGATGACATTTACACATGCTCTATGTATGGAGCATGCACTGCAGCATTGAATTTATCACCAGGGTCTCTTGAACTTTAATTTGCCAGCTGCTTCGATACCCGGATAATTACATACGTGCACATTCTTTTGTGTATGTCCTTTTCGAACTTGGTGACTCGCGACGAGACCTCACCCTCATTGTTTTGTACTGGTTGCCCTTCCAACAGCAGAATGCAGTTGGGTCAATCTCCGGGGCTGGGAGTGGTACACAGTTTGTCTCCAGCGCCGAAGCAGCGGAATTCCACCGTGGAATCTTGGAGCCCCGCCAGTGCTTCCGCTGAAACCTTGGAACCTGGAGCCCTGGGGCACCTGGGAACCTGGGTGCTGTTAGGCCAGGTGCGTTGATCGGCCTTTGGCCTTGGGCCCTGCAGCTCGCCATTTGTACTCTTCGGGGCCAAGCCCACCCCGAGCACCATGTCGGCGACGGAGGCCTCGGGCAGGTCAGTTGAGTGGCACAAACAATAGTTTTTGGCCCCGCACGGAATTTGTGCAACAGAGCGAATTAGGCAGGCTGACTGCGTAGATCGTTGGCTTGATGGCCTTGGTGTGTGTGTGTGTGTGTGAGTTCAATAGTGTTGGAGGGCTTGGAGGAACGCAATGAGCCGCGTGTCCCTGGTGGTAGTAGATCCGCGCATCATGTGTACTCCAGCACAGTGGTTTCTTTGTTCGCAGTCCGGTGCGTTCTCAGTAGCGCGTCTCTATGCCGGCCACCTTGTTGGATGTACCCAGCAGGACGTTTCTAGTTTTGCACATGTGCCTGCATTTTGTGTTGCGAGGCATTCTTTCTACGCATTGCTTTTGCGCAGCAAGGCCGTTCGTTCTTAGCAACCCTCATTGGTGCTGGAACAATATTTTCGCTGTTCTGATTCTCTTTCCTGCTTGTTCCTCAGCTCCTCGATCCTCCTCCTGTTCTTGCTTGCCAGCTCTTGCCCCCGAGCTCCCTTTACGCTTGGGTGTGGTTTGGGAGGTCTGTATGTATATAAATCTATACGCGTACACATATTGGAGCCTCAAGATCTTGGCTCAAGGGACTACGTGACTCAAGCCGGGCTCGTTGGCTGTGGGCTGTACACGTCTTCACCAGGAAGGTCCCTGTGTCCAAGAGCGGTGACGCGGCAGATCTTGGACGTCCTCGGCACCCTGAAGATGTACGGTTACACGCACCAAGTGGATCTGGGAAGACAAGATCCGCGAGGGCTACACCTCCAGCAAATGTGGCAATCACTGGATGAAGCCCCTTCAAGGTTTTTCCACCAAACCACGTACTCCTAGACCATGAAGGGAGTGCGGCCAACAGAAGCCGATCCCACCGCCTCCAGGACTCAGCGGAGGCAGAGGAGGGAAGCTGACAAACATCCAGAAGGCCACGGCAGATGTTTTAGCCCCAGCTTGGAGTTCTTTCGACACCTCACAGATGTCTTGAAGGAGGCCCTCACGCAGCTCCCAACACGAGTGAGAGAACTGGTTGAGAAAATCGCAAAACCGCCTCCGGAGACAGAGAAAGACATGGCCACATGGCCACATGGCCATGAAGCTCAAGGCTCAAGTCTTTGCCTTGCGTGATCTCTTTCACCGCAAGATGATGCAGCAAAAGATCGACACCGCCAAGAAGACCTCATGCTGGAAGAGATGAAGGGCGTCCAAGCCAAGTTGGAATGAGCAAACAGCCCTCACGGCCAATCTGTTGTACCTTTTGCAGCCACAGGCTCAAGCAGCGGCACGGCTCCTCAGCCGGGCTATAAGGAACGTGGCGAAGTGAGCCTGGCGCTCCCAAACTTCGTGGGGGCGTAATTTTGACTACTGAGTCTGCCGGAGAGCCAACAGCTGGTCCAGGGGCACCGTGCTCTTCTGCAGCAGTGCGGGCCTTTTGAGGTTCTGCAAACAACGGAACCCCGCAGACCAAGCTGGCAACTCTCCTCACCTCGTGGAGCTCATGGGTAATGATGAACCCAGGACTGGTTTTGACCAGGCAGACGGGCAAAGAACGACGTGACTGTATCCATTGCAGCCTATGAGCGTCGCCGCTCAACACACACACACAGGGCAACAGCTCCTGACTGATCTCAAACGGATGGAGAACCTCGTTCACAAACATCTCGAAGTACAAGGAGATGTCAGCACATGGCTGTCAACATCAACCTTTGCTGTGGGAACGCTGCCTTTAGGTGCTGGAGTTGGGCTGGAGCTTTTGCAGAAGACCAATCTCTGGCTTGGGGAAAGACCTACACCGCTGTTCGACAATTTTTTGTCGGACAGCTATCCTACCACCCTCAAGGGCCTGGAACAGATGGTCGCCATCTGGGACCACTTCCAGGAAGGACCAGGCTGACGTTGGTGATTTTGTCGGCTTTCTCTAAACCGTTCATCCCACTGGACGCCTTGAAGGAAGAGAACAAGTCCCTCTCAACCGCGTTTTTCCTCCAGGGTATGGGCCGGCGAAGGCGAGGGGCAATACCTCTATGGGGCTCCAGGTGGACTCATTGTCCACCTACAGAGGTTTCAACTTGTGCAAGGATGTTGCACCAAGCATGATCGAGCCCTCGAGATTCCTGACAGAGTCTCCTTCCCGTGAAGATGGGATACACGTGGCCTCATACCGCATTGTGAGCCTCATTTTGGGGCATGGCCACGAAGCCGGGCATTTTGCCTCCGGGTGGACAACGCATTGCGGTATGCTGAGGATGGCGCATACCCCACTCCGATTCTGCATCTGACTGATCGATGCAAGAAGGATGTGGTCCAGTTGTGGCTAGTTCAAGAACCCATTGACGAGTTAGTCCCTGATGCGGTGGGGGCCTTGGATCTCCCACAGGCCAAAAGATCCAAGCTTCATCTCGAACCACTACACCTCGTTTTCGGCAACGTCACCTTCTTCGGCCACCGCGCGCAGGACTGGATCTGGACCAAAAGAGACCATCTCATTTTCCTTCAAGAAATCCACTTGGGGCAGAAGAAGATGGAAGCCACGCAACAATATTTCGCCGGCAGAGGGTGGAGATGCCATGGAGTCCCTTTCATTGTGGGAGGTGACTGGTAAAATAAATTGACCTGAGGCCCTGATTGACCTGAGGCCCTCGCAGCAACGCTGATTCAGAGCAAGTGCAGAGCCCACCACCACTCTCCAAGGAAGCCAGCACTTCCTCCCATTGGGCGCACCTTCCAATTGCCGGCTGCTTGGTCCAGCTTTTGGGAGGATGACGGTCTCTTCTACATCATCGACCAACAAATCACTGGTCTAGGCACTGATCTTGCAAGGTGGGCCACTCAGACGGAGAAGTACTTGACACAGCTCCTACATGAGCCCACCAAAGGAAGAGGATCTCGCATTTCCCTCTGCCAAGGACCCATGGTTGATCAACAACGATCCCAAACATGGAAGAAAGGGCGTTTGGCGTTGAGCACCCTGAGAACGAATTTGTGGAGATCAGGAAGATGATCGCTGAGCAGGAACAAAGGGCTCGCCAAGCCCTTTTGTCCACCAGTGAGGAATTCAAAGCATGGTTTGAGAAAGCCTACCAAAAAGGCCTTCGAGGCCTTTTCCGCAACTTGAGGCAGCGAGATTGTCCGTGGCAAAGGCCTTTCCAGCATTTTCCTGCTCTGGAAAGGCTCGCTGCAGCGTTGATGCCCTTCCGAAGGCCAACTGGAGCAAGCTGGGCTCAAGCTCAACACCGACAAAACTGGGTTCTTGACCAGCGCCTGAGAAGCCGCTCAGGCCGTCAAGGCTTTGCTTCGTGAAGGAGATCCTGGAACACTACGATGTTCTGAGGGACTTGGGAGGCGACGTCGAGTTCCCCACATCAAAAAGCGCTTTCTCAAAGGCCGAGCAAGAGTGGGCATCATGCACCGCTTGCGGATTTCCACTGGTACGGTCTAGCTCCTCAGAGAAGACAACGCCTGAAGTCTTGCCCGCGAGAGGGCCACGCTCACTAACCTGATCCAGGTGACTCCATCATCTTGCAGCACCTCCACACCATCTGGAAGGTGTATCACAGCTTCTCTGAAAGCAAAAAACACCTCTTTTGGATCAGCTGGAGCGCAGCCCTTGGAGCTCTCCTGAAGGCCAAAAACGATGGCAAGTTGTCTCTGGTCCACTTCAAGCTCTACAAGCGTATTTGTTGGTTCTTGAGTTCGACATTTCTGACGGCAAGCGCTGGAAGCGGACCGGCTATGGAGGCATCCCTGACTGCCACCTCTACCTCACTGAGCCCTGGCCCATCGCGCGCTATCTGCTCCATTGCAGTGGCGGCGACTTGTCGCGATATCAAATTTGGTTTTGCCATCCGTGTTCACAACACCGCCACGAGGAAGCGGATTGGCTCCATCATTGGCGTGTGTCCTGGGCAAGCCAGTCAGGCAAGGGGGCTTTTCTATGCGCTCAAGCATTTGGCCCTCCATGTCAAGGACAAGGTTCCTGCTGCTGTCTTTCACCATGGTGTATGGCGAACCTGGCAACCGTATCTGGCCTATGAGACATTCCCTGACCTCTACAAGGGCTTGGAATATGAAGATTTTGATCAGGTGCAACCTCTTCTCTTTGCCCGACAAAAACTTAAGGTGAATGATCACTCAAAAGCTGGCCAAGCAGACGGCTAAGATCTTTGAACTTGCTGCAGCAGAAAGTCGCTCACATCCACCACAAGATCCCGCATTCTACAGAAGCCGGAACTCTTGGCTGAGTTGACGAAGAAGCTACAACGCAACGGACATGAGTGGCAGCCTTTCAGGAGCGGTGTCAGGTGCGGGAAGTGCGGCCTCACTTATACCGCACCAAGAGCATGGTGGAAGACCTTCGAGAGGACATGGACGAACCTTGCATCGAGGCGCCCAAGCAGCCTCGTCGGACACGCGCGGAGGTGATCCATGCTTTGGTTGCTGCGCAAGATGGGCCACAACAAGGCGTCCATCACTTGAAATTGGACCGTGCATATCCATCTTGGCTCGGGCAAAGGAGGAGGCTTTCTCTCGCTTCATCGGAGAGCCTTGCTACTGTGGTCCGCTGCCACCGAGCCAATGACCCAACACATACAATGGTGAGGAGGGGAAACGCCGTCGAGTGCGCAAGCTGCTTGGCTCGCAGCAAGATCCAGGAGGAGAAGGCGACCCTCACCAGCCGACTTAGATCCACCTGCTCTCACTCACGGTCAAAAGACCTTCGCCAGATGTTCAAATAGCGCACTCTTGCACCAGAGAAAAGGCGTGCCAAAAAAATACACATATTGAAGAGGGTCAAAGTTCCAGTCAATTGAGTTGTTATTGTTATTGGGTACTCCTTTTGGGTACTCGTAGCGGGAATGTCATTGTTCAAAATTTTGTTCCCAGCAACAGGATGCAGCTGGGCTTCAATGTGGGGCCGGGAGTGGAGCGCAGTTTGTCTCCAGCACCCAAAATGCCGTAGAAACTGGGTGTTATTCGGTCGGGTGCTGTGATCGGACTTGTTCGGGCACACTTCCACCTTGGAACCTGCGTGATGTTAGGCGCTGGGATTTCCCACCTTGTAACCTGGGTGTTGTTAGGAGCTCCCGGGCTTCCACTGTGGAACTGGGTGCTAGTCAGTGAGGTGCTGCGATCGGACTTCCAACTTGCGACCTGCGCGATACTAAGTGCTGAGATTGAACTTCCGACTTCCGCCTTTAAAAGGCGAGGTGTGTTCGGGCTTTAGCGGGCTCCCACCTTGGAACCTTTGCTGTTGCGATTGGGCCTTGAAACTCTGGGTGCTGGTAGGTGGTTAGACTTCCGCGTTGGAGCCCTGGGCGCTGTTAGGTCGGGCGCTGTGGTCGCTGTCGTGTATGTACTCTGTCAAACCCTCACCAAGCAGCGTGTTGGCAATGGATGCATCAACAGGTCAGTTGAGTGGCGCAAACAATTGTTTTAGCACCACGCCAGGTTTGCGGTGCAGATCGTTGGCTTCATGGCCGTGGTGGTTTGTTCAATAGCGGTAGTGGATCCGTGCATTTGTATCTGCAGCGCGGAGCGTTATTGCGCTTGCTTTCCGCAACGGTAGCAACTGTTGCACTTGTGATGCGTGTGCTTTCCAGGCAGTTGCGCGTACTTAGCAGGATGTCTCTCAGCTGTTGCGCTTGTGGTGCGGGTCCTGTTTCCGTTACAATTGTTTCTTTCTACGCAGTAGTGTTGAGAAACAACAGTATGGCAGGTATTTGTACGTTTTTGTGCTGGAACATTGTTTCCTTCTTGTTCCTCAGCTCCCTGACCCCAGTTCCTGCTCCCGTTCTTGCTCCCCAGCTCTGGCCCCCGAGCCGTTTGCACTTAGCAAGTGGATTTGGGTCCAGTTTGTGTATATACACTTTTCGAACACAACATCAGCGTGCAATGAGGAAGAACACGTTGTGAGTCTTTCGCGGCATGGTAGACGTTTTCAATGCTCAATGTGATGTTGGCTTGACCAGCTTTGCGAAGCCTCGCGACGCAAATTAGCCCGAACCACTACGCAGAACCTCCGTCGAAGGCTGGAAGAACCATGGAACAAAAGCTGTGCGGAACTTAGCACTGCAGGCAGTTGTTTGCGAGAGCGTTCCAAAGATTGGTTAACAAGAGGGACTTCCACAGGCCTGTAGCGCAGTAACACTGGGTGACGAGGAACCCTTCGTTTCTATCACAGGAACTTGTGGGTCATACCATGTAGTATCTGACGCAAACCGCTCTCAGTAACCCCTCCTTGCAACGATGTGTTTCTTTGTTTTCCTTTAGCAAGTCAGTACTGTACAGAGAGGAGATAGACGCCGGATGTGGGAAGGTTCCGGCCTTCCCGGATGATCTACCCTGGAAGCAGGTGGGACAGTGGCGGGGACAGGCCCATCAAAGTAATTATAGAATCCTGTGAGGTTTAATGCGTCTCGTTTGCGTTTCACATTGCTACAGTTCGGCTTCAACTTGCGGGGAGGGTGTGATGTGCTGGGCTTGTTCTCACAGGTTTGGGCCAAAGACCCGCTACGACCTGCCACAACGGCACAAGGAGCCAGAAGCGTTCGCAAAGGGATTTTTTTGTCATTGTTGAACAACAGTTACGCTGCTTGAGACACTTTCAACTGATGGGTCACGCAATATGTACGAAAAGGATTCACATAAACGTTGCTGCTGGCCAGGATCGATTCCTTCAAGGAACTCACAACATCTAGCATGGGCAGTTAAATACAGTATTTGCAAGCATCTAGGACTAGAAGCGACCGTGCGAAGACCCCAATGGCCGGCCAGATAAAAGTTCAAGTTGAGACTGATAGACTTTACCGTGCCTGACTAGCGAAGGACTCACGATTGTATCATGCTGGCCCCAAGCCAGGTTTATTACAGTGCTCGCGGTGTGGGATTATAGCAAGTGCCTTTGCGTATACTTTAACTCAGCAAAGATCGATGGGGCAGACCTCTCACGAACTGGCCTGTGCTTTGTTGACCTGTGACTTTGCGCAGACAAGTGCAGGCCTATGGGAATGCGAGTGAGTTGGAGGCCATTATATTCAACGGCACTTCACTTCAGCCAGAGGCGGCGTGGCTTGACCGGTTTGAAGACAGCCTGTGACTGGTTGTATACTGTAGCTGAAGGCAGAGCAAGGAAGAAAACACGATTGTATCTTTTTTCTTTTGCGCGCGAGCACCGCGAAGACTTCTTCTTCAAAAGACGTGCTACATCTGAAGACTTACTACTGCTGCTACTACTGCTACTAGCACTACTACCACCACCACTACGACTACTACTGCTACTGCTACTGCTACTGCTACTACTACTGCTACTACTCCTACTCCTGCTCCTGCTCCTGCTACTGCTACTGCTACTACTCCTACTCCCTCCTGCTCCTGCTACTGCTACTGCTACTCCTACGACTACCACCACCACCACTACCACCACTACGACTACTACTACTACTACTACCACCCTGCCTGCTACTTGTAGATTGCTCCGATGCAGGGTACACGTACATGTTTTGCTGCGCATCTTGCGTATGCAGAGTTACTCATGCATATCATGCAGGCAGTGTCTTAGCCCCACCAGGAGGTCCTTGACTGAATTCCGCTTAGTCTGAGTCTGGTCTACAATAAGAGAGCCTTAGCCGCGATTACCAACTACCCTTTGCAGGTTTCATTTCTGCCATCCGGAGCTGTATCTGGCCACCAGCTCCTCTTTTTGGGGCTTCCACGCAGGCGCTTCGGTTTTGAGCTTCTGAAAGGCGAGTCCCTGGCTCACAGAAGACAGATGACACCTAGACAAAGCATGATTGGAGTTACATTTGCCTGGACCAGATGTGCTCTCGCATCTACTTGCGGACATGCGCAGGAGAATACGCAGAGAAGAAACGTTTGGTTTGGTTGTCGGCCACGCATATTAATGTCTTGTTTGCGGACTGCTTGCGACTGTAAGACTAAGTGCTGGGGTGCCTGGAGAGTGGTCCTGCAAAGTTGAAGATTCGAAGGAGCAGCGCCTGCAGTGGTGATGTCAAGCAAGCTTGGAAACGTCCTCAGACTTCGCAGGACAAAAGCGGTGCATCATCCGTGCAGGGTAGGAGGTGCGTGAGCTCTTGAAACAAGGAAGGTGTTTTCCCACAGGCCCACAGTCCAAACAGAAGTGAGCTGGGCAGAGATGGGCAGTTTCTCGGGCAAAGCTCAAAGGTGCACATGCCTCGATGGCAGCAGGGAGCCTGCAGCAGTTCATTGGTGCCAGGCGGACCTTCCAACTGCGTGTCGTGTCCCTATTGGCCATCTTCAGCTGTCTCCGATCGGTGCTCGATGAATGGAAGCCCAAGCCCATCTTGATAGTCGACTGCGCTTTCAAAGTGGACCAGGAAGGCTAATTGTTTGGCTTTCCTGGACCCCTTCTGACTGATCAAATTTTACCGTATTTTTTCTGGGTTTGTTGTCAAGTCGTTATCATAGGTCCTTATAGGTGAGGCAATATCTTACCACACTAGTCCTATTTTGCAAGTGATACGAGTCGATGATCAGCTTTAAAGAAGATCCATCACTTCCAGGTGCCGTGACCTTGTGAAATGTGCTCTTCAGTGTCAGAAGCCTGAGCGGACCTTGACGATGTTGTGAGCAGGGAGGAGCGCTATGCAACCGGTTGCGTCTTCGAACTCGCCATGTGCGGCGACAAACAACGCCGCCAAGCACGCACCGCCCTTGCGTCTTGACATTCGAGGGCTCGTAGGTTGGTGAACGTCGGCGAAGGTGGTTAGCCTCGCAGATGGGAGGAAACTTGCTGGCCTTCTGCGTCCCAGCAATTAAGCTGGTAGAGCGTTGCCCTCTGCGCGGCCGGCCGTTGTAGACTTTGAGGCTTGGCTCACTCACCACAGTATTCCATAGTATTCCATAAGTCCATAGTGGCGTCGTCAGTGGACCATGTCCTGATGTCAAGCTTCTGCTTGACAGTCTTTTCGGCGGCCTAGTAGAAGGAGCTGTTGTGACCTCCGCTGGAAACGTGCCCAACTTGCGCAACCCAACTCACCCAACTCAGCTAGTGCAACTCAACTCACACAACTTGTGTAGTTCGCGCAGGAAAACCGTTGCTTGTGGTGAGGTGAACGCTTTTCATTAGGTTTTGATGCAGGCAAAAAATCACGAGCTTGATCACAGTGATCCTTGCTCTATGTTGTGCGCATTCTGATTGTGCTCCCAGGTCACCTGTCGTTTTGTAGCAAGACCAATGTTTCCAGAACCTTTTCTTGGCAGGATCTAGACCCCCTGATGGCCCGAAAGTTTTGAGCAAAGCGTGGGCAATAATGCTTTTTCTGAGCACACGAAGCTGTTTGGCCGCTCATTTCCTTTGCAAGCAACCCAGCGCGCGCAAAAATTTGCATTTCACCTCACGTTTCGGCACTGAGCCGGATCCTGAGAGAGGGTTCTGCAGCCGCCGGCAAGATGTGACGCCGCGCAAAACCGCGTGGCACAGTGACGTCAAAATAGAATACTCTCCACACACCGCGTGGCGCACACTCTACATACAACCATGTTACACCCAGCCGTATACACCGCCACTCATCCCCCTCCCCAGCGACACGCCGCATTTACGCCAGCGCACTTTCTCTCCCTCCAGTGGAACGGACTCACACAAACACACCCTTCGCCGACGCCACGCAAAACCGCATGGCCCAGCGACATCACAGACGGACTTTGGCCACAGGGTGTGGCGCACACTACATACAACCATAGCTTCGTATACAGCCGCTCCACCGGCTCCCCAGCTAGACGCTGCATTTACGCCTGCGTGCTTTCCTCTCCCCAGTGGCACGGACTCACGCAAACCACTTTTCAAAGCCGCATAGCACACCGACACCGTTGCGGGTACCGCCCATGCTCCCGCTCCCCAGCGACGCGCCGCATTTACGCCAGCGTGCTTTTCGTCCCCCATTCGACGATCGCAGAATTCGATTTTCGCTAGACATTCGACAGGCCGGATCCGAGAGTTTGCCGCCGACCGAGAATTCGCATTTCGCTACACGTTTGGGCGCTCGACAGGCCAGATCCTGCGAGAGGGTTGCTTCTCGGCTTCTCTCGCTTGGCCCGCCCCGGCTTTAAAGGTAATGAAAGATTCGAGATGTCAAGACAAAAGCTTGGTCAAGTCTCTCGCAAGTGCTAAAACTTGGTCGAAAAAGGTCTCTTGCAAATGGTGAAACTGGGTCAACCTCTTGCAAATGGTGAAACTTGGTCAAATCTCTTGCAAATTATAACTTGGTCAAGTCTCTCGCAAGTGCTACAACTTGGTCAAAAAGTCTCTGCGTATGGTGAAACTTGATCAAGTGTCTTGCAAGTGCTAGACTCTTACAAGTGCCAAGGCCTGAGCCAAACTCTTACAAGTGCTAAAGCCTGAGAAAAGCTCCTACAAGCGCTAAAGCCTGTGGAAGATTTTGACAAACGCTTACACCTTGAGCTAGACAGTCCAAGTGCCTTTAGTAAGAGCCCTTCAACCAAGTCTTTCGGGAAAAGTATATCAATAGTTCGGTTGCGCAATTCAGTTCTTCGAAATCCAGACGCAGAACAACAGATCAGAATATCCACGTCTGATGACAGAGCGTAGCTCTGGTTTCAACGTTTTCCCCAAGCAGTTTACTTTAGGGGTTATATCTTAGATAAAAAGAGCTGGCCACACTGACTGGCCGCGCCCCTGAACTCTGTGGCCGGGCTCTGTGGCCGGGTCTTGTCCTCCTCTTGTCCTGCTGTTGTCCTTCTTTTGTCCTGCTGTTGTCCTCTTGGCCGCGCTGACCAGCCCTAGCCACACTGACTGGCCACACCCCTGAACTCTGTGGCCGAGTGTTTAGAATGCTGAGTGAAGTCCAATCGGGCGCCCGCGAAAGAAGCGGGTTCGCGTAGGGGCCGTAGGGGCCCGTCTCATACGGTGTATAGGTGGGGCGCCGTGTGAGACGCATTGGACATGGTCAATTTTTCATGAATATGTTCAAACAGCTGGAGAGGAGAGTGGCCGAACAAATAGGGATGTCGATGCCGACAAAAATTGATGAAGCAGTTTGCTCTTTTGGGGGAAGGTAGGGCGTACCAAGAAATCGTTTTTGACCAACATTGGTCCAAACGAATCGTTTTCAAACAGTTTGGGGTCCATGCTATGCTGGTATAATTCATCTTTCGGAAGGAAGCTGTCAGGTTGAACTTAAGTCCCCAGCAACTTCCAAATGAAGACCTCGGCCGAAGTATAGTTCAAATGTTATACTTGTGTGTTGTCCATAGCCAAAGGCCGTCCACCCCGCCCCCGAGTGAACACGCATCTCCCAGCGCAGAACTTGGTCACACTGAGCTGGGTGTGTGAGATACCTTACCTCCGATTTTCAATTTTCCCATCGGAAGTTTGTCCGGTGGGATTTCATCTCACATACACATACACACATGCGGTCCGCCCTGTTAGGCTTGGAGTGGAGGCCAGCATGAAGCAACACCGTGACACGGCAACCTTGCGAATGGGACGGTCGAGACTTGTGACATAGCGACTTTGTCATGCGCTCTCGAATGTTCAAGTCGAGTGTTCGTAGTGGGTTCTTTCTCTTTCTCTCTCTCTCTCTATGATACTGTATGTCATTGGACGGACCCAAGAGATCCAGTGAGCGAGGGTAGGAGAAGTTGCAGGCGCCACAGGCTCCAAGAATCAAGCAAGCGCAAGCCGTGCATTAGGCGTGATGGGAAGGGTTGTTGCCGGCAAGGGAATATGGGAAATATGTTGGCAATAAGTGCAGGAGACAGTGAAGTCAGAGTTGGCAAACAAGTGCCACGTTCCTACGATGCACCCTGACAATTGACAAGGTAGCCTTGCCAGCGCAGACATCTCCAGGGTCAGATTGCTATTCATGCACGTCCTTTCTTAGTGGCGCAACAGGCTATGATATGAAGCTTGTGATTCTGGTTTTCTCATGTCAGATTTGCTTTGCGTTGCAGCCTCTAGTGGTTGATGCAACGTATGCTGTAACTATGCGTACCGCAATCCCTCAAGAAAACATCACTGGGTCATTTCAATCAAATGATTTGACAAGTACAGTATACTGTATATATTTAGTCTTTGCCTTGTGAGATTTCGAGCTCAACAGTGGCAAACAGATTGCTACACATGTAGTGACGTAGAGATGCTTGATAGCTGTGATGGGTGAGAACAGTGCAAAGAAAAGCTGCGTTGCTACAAAGGGACAATCAATAGGTCGCAACCTGCCAGGAGCTGCGTCAGCACAGGGGCAGCTCACAGCGCCGAGTGAAGAGGGTTTGGTTTGGCCCCTGGGGGCATGGGTGCGTATTCTGTACCAATAAAAGCAAGCGCGCCACAGAATGTGAAGATGTAGACATAATGCGTAGGGAAGAAACAGCCAGATGTGACCTTCGTGGCACTTCACAGTGTGTCAAGTGTGTCACGTGCTTGATGAAGGATTGAAAGAAGTTCGACCGCCTTTAGGGCTGCTTGTGTTTCCGGACTCGAGTCCACCCGGTTCCGCGGGAATTGAGGCCTGCTTATGATATGATATGTATATTCCACATCATGTAGACAGTCCATGTGGCTCATGCTGAATTGATTGTAGACTTCGTAATGCCTTGCTTGAATGCCACTGCTAGGAGTATCCCCCTCCTTGTGCTTTGCCCTGCATGCTGCAAGCGCCAGCAGAATGAACGCGATGCATTTCTTGACCGTTTCAACTGCAGCGTCTGTGCTTCAGCGGGCCTAAGCAACTTAACTTGTCCCATTTTGTGATATTGGCAACTCGAGACAGCATCGGTATTTGCCGGTCCTCCTTTCTTCACTAGGTTTTCCTTGGTTGCCAGAGTTTGTGAGCGATGCTGGCCGCTCGCTCGATTGCGCGCGTGGGACTTGCACAGAGGATTGCTTCGTCAATCAAGGTGACTGCCCCGCAGGCCAGCCCGCTCATAAATAAAGACACGAGTCAATCAGTTCATCGCTGTATTTTCATTCATCATATTGTATTACAGTACTCTCAACTTTGTATTTTGCACGCTGTATTTACTGTCGGTTTCTGGGGGGGGCAATCCCATGACAACCAACCAATTTTCAAAAGGCAGACCCAGCAAAACTAGGCGTGGCCTGAAGCAAAAGCCAAGCGCGCGTAACTGCTGTTCCTCCGCAAAATTGAAGCGGTCATCTGGATGCCTTGAGATATGGACAAGCGAGCGACTGCGACTCCTCAACCATGCTCCAACAATCTCCAACGTCCAGCCTCCCAGCCAGTTCATGTAAACTGCGTCGGAAAAGAGGACTGTGGCGTTGGAGCTTCTGGTTTTTCATTCGTTCCTCGCTCCGCTACAGATGCGAGCTCGTTTCTCCTTTTCCTTTGCGCCACTCTGATGCAACTGGCCTGAAGGAGTAGCATGTGTTGGTGTCGCTGCTCGATGCCCCGTTGCGGCTCCTCCAGTCATAAACTGATCATGGGGACCCTTCGGGGTCAGCGCCGGGTACTCAAACATCCAGCGGTGCGAAGTGGTCGGCTCCAATTGGTTCGGATCTTGCCCTCGTCCTGGAAGAAGGGGTCCATTAAGCTTGGTTGGAGGCTGTCTGCCCCGCACTGCTCACGTTAGCCCGTGCTACCCTGCAAATTGCGTGAAAGTCCAGGCTGGACACTCCAGAGTGTAGCCCGGAGAATGTTTGCGAAAAGCTTCAGTGCTTGGCAGTTTGAAGTGATGTGCTTGGCCACTTTTGACAGTACGGGGAGGCATCAAAGTAGCTAACCAAAACTGTCATTGAAGCGGTGTATGAAAGGTTCTCTGGTTGCTCCGCTCACTGGCGCGATCGTGTGTGACTTGGGGTTGGAGTCTTGCGACTGTGTTCACGCGCGAGAAATCCGCTGGTGTGTTGAGGATTCACTCCATTCTTTTCGGTCAATTGCATCAAAACCCAGCTTCCCGGTGGGGCTGCGGGTGATAGCGATGATGGCGAGCGGCGAGCAGCCTTCTTGGAGGAGGAAAAAGAGACCCCGCAAGTCTTCGTGGAATTGCCAAACAGCTGTTTCTGTGAGATCGACGATCAGGTGCTTCTGAGCGATTTCTTTGCAAGACAGCCGTGATGGGTTACGTGGTGCATTCATGTGTCAGAAACCCTCTCTGCCCTCCAATTCTCAGGTTTCTGTTTTCGCTTCTTCTTCTAATTCCTCTTCCGGCAAAGACGTTCCTTCAACATGTTCTCAATGTCTTTACTTCGCCGTTTTTTAAAAATGCGGTCTGGATTCAGGCATGCGGCATGCCTTCTTCTGTTGCAAGAACGGTCGAAGCCATGGTGAGGCCCAGCTGCTCAAGGTGCTCGTCAACTCCTTTGTCTTACACCCCATGTAGCTTCCTCGCCCTCGTATTTTCGTCTTCTTTTCAGCTTCTGGCGCGCCCAGTACTTCTTCGACGCTTCCATGGCGATGGCGCGTGGCACCCTTCTAAAAACTCCACAGCCCGTGCATCGTGTGGCAGAAAGACCCACCTCCTTAATCGCTTGCCGCCCACAATGGCTTGAGCTCACCTGGCCCTTGCCCGTGATGGAGTTGACTTTTCTCTGTAGCTCTTCACTTCTTCTTCGGCGTTCATGAGGGTCGCGCGTTGGAGCCGCACACCACCTTTCTCCGCTCTCCCGGACTCTCATTGAGGCTCAGGCTCAGGGAGGCTTTCAGACAGCCTTGGGCCGGGGTCAACTCTGCATGTTGGCCAATCGTGGGGAATGCTCCCTCTCTGCGCCGGCGATGTCTTTCGAGTTCTTCAACGAGCCGGCGTCAGATTCTCCAAAAGACTCGTCCAAACAGGTATCGAGCGTTTCCTTCTCTATGCGCACCTAGAGATAGGAGCTGGTTGGGCGTTGCCAATCACCATTGCGTCCTCCTCCAGCCGACTGAGCGTGAGCCTGACCTCTGAAGTGGGAGTTTCCGACGCAGCGATGCCCATGAGTTGTGAAAGGGCTAGGGCTAGGGGTTGGTGCTGCTCTTGTCGATTGTTGTGACCAGGTCAAGGACATGTGGACCACAGCGTTGCTACGAGACAATGGGTTCAGAAGCTGCCGGGAACAAAACAGGTGTGGCTGGAAGCAAAAGCAATGGACACGCAACTGCTGTTTCCTCAGCAAAGCGCGAGCGGTCTTCTAGATGTGTGAAAGCAAACGGCAGCGACTCCTACTGAACGATGCTCAAACAAGCTCCAACATTCAGCTTCCATGCCAGCTCGTATGTAAATTAAGTTTACTATTGCATTTGACATCTGCCTCTCACTTCCACCAGCTTGACATTTACAGTGAATTGGCGGTGGTTGCTGTGTGGAGGCACTTCGAAAGCATACCATCCTGGCGGGCGTTCCGACACCCTGCCAACCTTGCAGTGAGTGTTTCAAAGCCGACTTCTTAGGCGGCGAGTGGTGAATGTGCTGTCCACCACACAGACGGCAAATATTTTGGTTTTGGCTTGGCTGTGATTGAGTTGCCAAATTTAAAACTGCATTTTTGCAAGGTTCACAATTTTTTTGTTTTACTGGCAAGGTCTTGAAGATTCCACCAGTTGCGTCTCTTGCCGACGTCACTGAAGCCTACCATCAGCAAGCTCTGAGGCAAGAAGATAAGACCCAGTGGGGCTTAATGGTGTTTGGATGGTGCAGAGAAACAAACCAGATCAATTGGTCCATAACTACAGGATAGATGTTTGGATCTGACAGGTGGCTCCCTGAGTACGAGCTGGAGGATCCAGAGGTTGTGGGACTCCCAGAACTCGCAACTTAAGACTACTACTGCTCATTTGGCAAAAATTTCTTTGCTGAAGACTTGTTTTGTCGGCAGTCTGCCCTTATCATAGGTTCAATCGGTTTGGTGGGAAATTGTCAAATGTTGTCATGGAGACGCACAACCTTGGTTGTGTTCATTTGACGCCTAGTGATGAGTTGTGCTGTTTAAACAGACGTGGTTTTTGCAGCGCCTGGTCACTGGACTTTGACGCTACCTTGCTGTTTCCCTTAAATTCAAGGAACCATGTTGATCATGGCAAGATTCTTCATCGAAACTTTCCGTTTCCTTGAAGAATCGGAGTTCTCCAGTGCCTGCCCTCGATCTTAATACATAATTTACAGTAGCTCTCTGGGTTTGTGTGTGTGACCCCTCAAACAGTTTTTCCTTCTTGGATTTCGAAACGTTTCACTTTCAAGGCAGAGAAGACCTTTGAAAAGCTCCTCGGAGCTTACCAAATGCTCACGAGGTGCGTACAATGGAAATTACCAAGACTCGCTGGTACACTGTGGCAGAATGTCATAGCAGAGCAGCTATTCTGCCGGCCCTAGCTTGATTTTGCTCCGGTAAAAAAGTAATTAGCTGACTGAAATGGTGAAGCGTTGAATTCATTTTCATAATGTCACGCTTCCAGATTGAAACCGCCTAGAATTGGTGCAGGCAGTTCGAGAGTGATTCTGAGGAGGTCAAAGAACGATGAGGAAGACTGTGATGCCCCACAGGAGATTGCAGTGGCATTTGACAATCCACATTTGAACTTGCCATTGCATCTTGGCACAAACAGTCTCTGAGTTTGAACAGCCCAGCTTCCACATCAACCTTAAATCCACCCTGAGAATCGCGCATAAACAAGACTCGGGGAGCCCAGTTTAAGGTTGACAGATTGGAAGATGTGGGTTTCAATTTTGGCATCGACGCTGCCAAGATCTTCCCGAATTTTGTGCAGACAGGGCGCAGCAAGAGGCTTTAGCGTCAAGAGGGATACTATTAAAAAGTTAAGGGCAAGGCTGAAGGAGGGTTTGACTCAAATTCTTAGACATGAACAACACCTTGCGGGGTGCCGCAATGCGGGACAAGTGGATTTTACATTGACAAGTTGGAACCCCAGATCCCACATGATGGGGCGATGCTGCCTTTAGAGGCTTTGTGTAAAGGCGTTTGCTTGAGTCTACTTAGCTTTGCTTCTGTTTCTCTTCCAGCCAACATTTTCTGCGCAGTAGCCACTTGCAACGCGTGAATTCGTTTGGTTTTGCGTCGCCGTGCTTGAGCGCTGGATCTTGGAATGGACCATGCTAGTCTAAATGCAGATCCACCGTGACAGTTGCTTCCCAGGCAGCTGACAGGGTTTAATTGTTGTTGGAAACTCTTACCCAAGCAAGTTGTCCAGCCAACTGTTGTCAAGTACTGTGCGTTTCCGAAGCTGTTGAGGGCTGCCTACGTGAACTGAGAGGGCCTCTCGCTTAAGAGTCTTGCAAGTCTTTCACACGCATATGTTTTTGAGCTACGGTCAAAACATGCGAAGACTAAGACCACTTTAGTAAAGAGGCGCACAAAATGTGCAAAACGATAAGGTCAACCTCAAGACCGATATATGATCATAAGCGTGTGGCGAACTCAAAACACTGTAAAACGATAAGGTCCAATCCAAAACCGATGACGTCCATTGTTTTATTGAAGAAGAATGAGGAGTCTCATATATATAAATATATAAATATATATATATATACATATGCGCATACTGTTTTGAGAAAGTACAAGTCCTGCTATGATATATCTATACACACGTATAATTCACGAAAAGAATGCACAAAATGTGTGTATATATGTGTATATACGGGCTCAAGCCATCTAAGCCTCAAAGCTGGTGCCCAGGCAAAACCAGCCAGTGTGGACCCGGCCGTTGCCATTCGCAGGGTGGGCTGAACTATTTGGTGCGCAAGAACGTGGAGCACACTACGCGGAGGCCAAGGGCATCTACGCGAATGAGAACGAAAAGACACTATGTTGCGCACGCAGGTTGCCACCGGAGCTGGATCTGGCAGGATCGACTTTTGCACAAGCACGGCGTGGCGTGCAACCAATGTGGGACATGTTGGGAGCCTCTTTTCAGTGGGCCTCTTGGAATTACCAAAGGCAGGAGCTCGGTGGCCCAAGAAGACCTACAAGGAAGCACTCATTGAACCGCCGCCAGGCTTGATGGGTGGCCAGAAGCGAGCAAAACCCTCGGCTTTGCAGAAAACGGTGCAGGAGCATTGGGCCACCGTGCCAGAGGCCCTGAAGACCCAATGTCAAGCACTTGGAGGCTGAGGAAGCACCACAACCACCAGATCTACCGACCTTTCCCAACAGATTTATTATGGGACGCTGTGGATTGGTGGCAGGCTGTGCCAGAGAGCTCGGTTCTATGGCTTGAGACTTGCCGCCCACTATTTGGATTTGCGCACGCCTGTCAAGATTCACGCATTATCCACCAGGGCATGGGAAGCTTGGACTCATGGCAAGCATGGGCATATCCTTTATGACCTCAACCAGCTCATCACCCTGGACCAGAGAGCCAGAATCAAGGCGTTGAGAATGAGCGTGCAGCAGGTCGATCGAGAAAGGCAGCGGCAGACCAGAGAAAAGAAGCAGCAGATGTTCACCAGCCTTCAAAACCCTCAATCTCCTGATGCACACTGTTGGGAACGAAAGGGCACGGCGCTGCAATGCACACATTGCAAGAAGAGAGTCACCAAACGCAACAAAGGAGGAGTCGAAGTCACACTTTGTGCAAAAGCTCCTCGATGGCACGCTCGACAACCATGGAGCCACATTGTCCAGCTCCAGAACCACTACTTGGTGTGTCAGCTCTGCGGCGTTCGAGCTTTGAGGCATGCTGCAAGGGGCAAAAACTCCGAGGGATGGCAATTCAGGCATGCCGCAATGGCCCTTGGGTGCCAGGGGCAGATTGGCAGGGCCACCCCACTCACGATCTCTGGAGGAAGGCCAATGTGGTCAAGTGCCAGACCTGCAAGGCGCAGGCTCTCCACACAGACGGCCAAGGGCAACCAAGCAAGGCGCTACGCGGCCGCTGTGGAGGACAAAAAGGAGGTCAACAGCTCCAGCGCTGTTTGCGGTCAAAAAGGCCTAGAGAGTTCACGCAGAAAAGGAGCGAAAAAAATCACGTGTATATACAATACATATAGATATATATTTATACACAGTCGGTATAAATAAACAAATAGACAAATATTTGTATATACATACACACATAATGCATGTGGACATAACAAGTACACATGATACAAGCAGCAGGTACGTATATATATATATACACATACACACAATATATATATATACACAATATCAGTTGGAAGTTCTTTCTGGCACCACAAAAGAAAAGGAATCTTTTGTCCTCGACCGTATGGACTTTGCTTTCCCTGTTCCCACCACCAAGAAGACAAGTGGGGCAAGTGGGACCAAGTCCACTTGCCTACTTCGCCTCATCATTTTCACCTCCCCAACCAACACCCTTTCTTGAGCAAATTGACATACACAACGGTGGAAAAAGGCAACAGTTCTTCCCACACCAGTCTTGCCCCATATACTGTAAATAAATCTATGTCAAACATCAGACACGTTCTTTAGATGGAAGAAACATATTAAAACAGGTTGAAGTGTTGCAACAATCAGTCGTATTGTCGTTTGAGAGGGATGCGTGCTGTCAGTTATTCGGTTCGTAGGCTTGGAATTGAGCCGACTGGGATTGCTATCAGCTGAGCAAATTTAGTTTCCCTAAAATCTAGGAACCAAATTAAAAACGCGCGAGTGAGGGGAGCTTCCTTGAAGAAGCGTGAGATATCCAGCGTCCTGAGTAGGAGCGTACATGTAGGTAGTAGCTACCTAGCTTGTTCTAGCTACCTAGCTACGGCCTACCCCCCCTTTAAAAATAAGGTGGACTACACTTTATTTGCGAACTAAGCTGAGTCCACTACTTGCATGGTGATGCTTCGCCTTGGAGAGGCGATGGCCAGCGTCCCGTTTGAACAGGTCATAGACTCCTCAGCTCTGTCAATAGAAATAGAGGGCCCCCTGGCATCGGTCAGGGCAATTCCTGATGGCCAAAACACTGCTTGTGCTTTGACTTGGAGCCGAGAATTGTGTCAAAAGGACAACTAGTGCCTCTTTGACCTGACGCTGGCCTTTGCATGCCTTTGCAAGAGTAGCTGAGGCTAAAACACTGCATTCTCCATACAGGGAGGCTGCAATGACTCATGGTGCAGACTAGTGCCATGCTCATGCTTAGCTCACGGACGTAGACTAGGACATGTGGTGCCAGTAATGGAAGCTGAAGGCCATTTGATTAGCCGGCTCCTCAATTCAGGAATCCAGGAACTACTTATCCAGGTGAACTAGTGAACCGTTGTTCAGTAACCAAGAAAGAACGATATCAGTTGTTAAGCCGAATCAGTAAGAGCACCAGCCTGAAGAGAACAATATAGAAGGGGCCAGCCCTATTTCCATCTGCTCCACTGCAAGCTGCACTTTGCTAGAGCAGAGCAGCTGAACTTAGAGGGAGCGCATTTAGCAATTTTGGCATTCTTGCTGTTAGGAGCCACAGCTTGTTTTGCAATGTCATGCGGGACCCCTGGATTTAGCTGGTTTGCTGGCATCCTATATACTTTTCTTCGGTTTTAAGTATTTTCCAGCCAACAAGATCTTGTGGTTCCTTGTAATTAATTCTGATCGATTTCCATGGCAACCCAGGCCTTAGCTTGCCATGTGGTAACAGGAAACGGCCTAAGAGTGCGATCGGCAAACTAGGCCGCATATGTCATTGTGTGGAAAAAGAAGGGATTGCAATTCTTGATGCTGTCCACCTCCATGACGTGCTGTAGACAATAGCTACTATCGCACAATAATTCACATTGCAGTACACATACTTGATGAGGGTCAAACAGCCAAATGCGCTCTAAGCAACTTGAAACTTGGAACCGAGTCGATGCAGGGATACCTCAGTGCAAACTAGATCCACAATTTCTCCTTAGTTTACAGTCGCCGTTCGCAACAAAGAACAGAGACGAGCAGCATTTCAGTTTCTTGCATATCATAGAATACATGCGCAGCCCAGACACAAGCCACTTCGATACGGACGACTGAGAGTATGGCGGCGTGCGCCAGCTCTTTTTCCCCGATTTTGAGCAATTCTAAGGTGCTTGCCGATGCAGGACGCTCATTGTTAGCAGATCGGCACCTGCCAGAGTTGTCATCCTGGCATGACTTGGCCGTGATCGTTTGTTCACAGTAACCCTAGATGTCAAATATTGTTGGGAGCATGCGGTTGTCGATGCAAGAAAAGGTGCCTCGACTATCTCAACTGCCACATTGTACCATTCTGTCAACCATTGAGTCAACGCAACCGATCTATAGTAATTGGTTGTGTTTCAAGATGTGCATCCCTGCACCATGTTGATGTAAAGGTACAGACAGCTTGGGTATCTCTTGGATACTTTGGGAATCTCGTCCAGGCCTCTGATCAATGACCGAAATGACCTTCATGGCTTCTTGGCATCGAGAGCAGCGATTCTGTCTAGAAGGAGAGGCGCCTTTGATTTGGCATTCCAATCCACTTGGCCTCTGACTTTGGGTCCATGCTGCGGTGCAGTGATAACTTCGTACCAGAAAAAAAAGCTTTTGAACTTGTCAGATAAATCGATCCTTCCTTACAGTCGTGGACTTGACTCGGCTTGGTTCGGGCAATGTAAGTCCTATCCACGTGTTGGCAAATCTATACAATTACATATAATCGGAATATATTTTGTTACACATTCTTTGTTGGAACCAGCCACGATATTGGTTGAGCAAAGGATATTGGACTACCCATCCCAACATCAGGGTACCAAAGTCAGATGACCAAGGAATAGCTCTGCTAGGTGGAAAGCACCTCTGGCATGTTTATTGCTGCAGTTGTGTCACATGAAATAGTGGTCATGGGCATGTTTCTTCACACAGCCTTTTTCAAGTGGACATGGAAAGGTGCCCACTGTTTCTACTTCAGAACTGGTAGGTCCAGGTGTTTGGGAACTCGCAGGAAGTTGGGTGTCATTTGCCAAGCGCAGAATTCAAAGACGGAGAGGATGAATACGCAAGGAATCCCGTGCACCTGCAGTTGTTTGGACGGGATATGATTGTTGGTAAGTGCACTTTTTTCCCGGCAACACAGGCTTTTGCCTCTTCAATCGATGGTTCCTGCGCTATCCTGCGCATATTGGCGATTTGAGATTCATTTTCTGCTTTGCGACGCCATGTGCAATGGCCAGAAGGATGTACATCACCCACACATGTCATATACATGTAAGTTACCAAAAGCAATGTTGAACCTCATGCCCCATGGAAAGTTGAGGAGGGGTGGTTTGCTTGTGCTCTTTTGCTTAGCTTGATATTATCCCAGCAAGACAACCCCAAACCGTGTTGCCCTAGAGGTCTAAGGTTTAGAGGTGTAGAAGCAGAAGGTCTAGAAATCTAGACGTATTGGGCTCCAGAGAGATCTATATAGAGATGGTAGAGGTCTAGAGATCCAGGGGTCTAGGGGCCTTGAGATCCAGAGAGATCCAAGGCCCAGAAAGATCTACTGTAGATTCTAGAGCCAGGATGTCAAGAGCTCTAGATCCAGAGGCCTGCGATCTTGAGTTTGAGAGGTCTAGAGATCTAGAGTTCTAGAGGTCTTGAAGAGGTCCAGAGTTCTAGACACCTAGAGAGATCTAGAGGTCTAGAAAGGTCTACAGGCCCACATCCAGAGACATAGTTCTAGAGGTGAGGTCTTGAGATCCAGATCAAGAGAGACCTATTCGGGGGTCGTCTAGAAGTCTATAGAAAGATCTATATAAGTTTCCGAGAGACGCGCAAACATCTAGAGGTCTAGAGGTCTGGAGGCCGAGACGCAGAGGTACCAAGAGGTGCAGAGATAGAGAGAGGTCTAGAAAGATCTAAAGGCCCAGAGAGAGATAGAGATCTAGAGATCCAGAGGTCGCATATAAGAGCGCGTCAGAGCACGTGTATGAGATTGCCACGAAGTCAGCGCTTCGAGGTTCTGCTGCCCCTGCCAAGGTCTGCGCTTCCACGTTCAACAAATTATTCTGCGCCTGCTGCGAAATGTGTATCGTGCCACGAAACCTGCACTTCGAGGTTCACAAAGTACTGCGCCTGCCACTCAACCTGCGTTTCCAGGTTCACAAAACGCTGCACCTGCCATGAAATCTGCACCTCAACGTTCACAACAAGTTAACACCAAGATACCAAAGCGCAGCTTTCGATTCCCCCGATTTCAAAAGGAACCACGTGTCCAAAGGTCACGATTCAGTGCACCTGCCGCGAAATCAGAGTGCTCTGAAGACCGTCGCCGTCTCAAGTAGAACTGTTCCGATCCACAAAAAGTCGACTTTGGACCACCAAAGCACAAGGTTTCTTTTGCGCCTGCCACGAAGGTAATCACCAAGTCCGAAAATGTGCCCGCCAGCGCAACGAGAGCGCAGTCGAGGAAAGCACCCGCTCGCGCTGGGCCCAGCAGATTCTGCGAGCTTGCGCAGTCGAAATGCACTTTGAAGATCTCGAGCGGTGTGAACGTAGCGTAAATAACAGTGAATTTGCCGAACGCGCTAGAGAATGAAATCAAGTGCATGAGGGAGGCGAACTCAGTCAAGAGACCGATGGAGGAAGTGTGGATCAAGCCTTGGTGAGGAGATGAAGGGGCTTTGAAGTTCATCCAACAGTTTTCCTTGGCGTTAAGAGACTGTGAGAAGGGTACTTTAGCTATACCAGGGCAACAGCTGTGCAATGAGGAGATTGTGACCACTGACGCGTTTCAGCAACCAAGTTGCACGTTACATCAACCGCGCGTCAGTGGCTACTCGTTTCAGAAGCTCTGTTTCAACAACCACCATGTGCGTTTCAACAACCAAACAAATACAAACAACTTGTTTCAGTAACCCAACAAATTGTTTCAGCAACCACAGAATCCAAACAGTTTCAAGCAGTTGCTTCTTGAGGGTATTGAAATCGGTGTCACAACTTTGTCTTCAACATCGCAATATTGTCATTGTATGGCCATGTGGTTTCGGCTGGATCATGGGGGTGGAACCAATATGTGAGTTTCCTATGTGAACCTTGATGTTCCTCACCCAGCATATAGATGTTTGAATTGCCGAAACAAACGTTTTGGTTGCCGAAACTGATGTTTTGGCTGCCAAAACATAGTCGTTTGTTGTGCTCGAAATCCACGCTTTTGTTTCCGAAGCAAGCGGTGACGGTTGGGCTATGGGCTGGACAATTGATTCCCGTACTTTCTGGAGCAGAGGGTTTATTTTCCCAAACCCGTCGTGGTGTTCAAAGCAGACATTGTTTTTACATTCAACAACTTATATACATATATAAATGTCTAATTCCGACGATCCAATCATCCTGTGCAGATCATCGGGAAAGACCTCGCTGATTTGCTCACTGCTTGCAGTCCATCATGGGAAGTGCCTCGACTTATTGCTTGCATTGGTTTTGACAAGAACGAACAACTGCAATCGCAGTCAACATAGCAAGGCTCGCCATTGAACTGCACGTCAATGTACATTTGTAAACAAGTTCAACTAGAAACCTCTATTGAACCACGACATTAGGAATTTATTGTAATTACTGCACTTGTCGATTTTGTAAACTGTTGAACCCTCGCATCTATGAAAACCACTTCTGTATATATATATATACATGGTTTGCAGCCAAGACAGGGAATAATGTCAAGCCAAACCAGGTACCCTCACTCCAACGACTACAAGGAGAAGTTGCGAGAAATGTCAGTGCGGACCTTGCCGAGCCAGTGCTGACAGATGCTTCGAGCCAGTATTATGATGCCAGGGAAAAACGAATGGACACAGACCCACACTCATACACACTCAAGATACAGTACGTACCAACTGACTTCCCAAGCACTGAAGATGCTCAAGTAATCCAAACCCCCCGAAAAAGAGCTACAAGATGCAGCGGCGCCTAACCGTAATCATCAAGCGGTTCTACAAGGCTCCAAAACCCAAGAATGATAAATGTCTACCGAGCTCATACCAATCGAAGGGCTGGTAGCTTGTTCCAGCTGAAACCAAGGACCAGAAGGAAGTAAAACCGTCCGCAAGCGAACCTGCGCCTTGTAAAGCTCCGAAGACACCTATGACTTAAGGTGTACCCACACACATGTTGCACACAAGATGATTTCTTTTCTTTGGGTGTCAGCATGTTTCTAACCGCGTCTTCAGTAGATTTGGAGCTCAATTGCTTGCGTGGTATAATTTGTTTTGGCGCTGTTCTGCGCTGGAGGCCTATGGTAATTCTTGGGACTTTCCAGAACGTTCCTCTCTCAGTGCGAAACAATTTCACAATGGCTGACCTGCATAGCTTCTCCAATGCAGCTTTCTTTTTTTGGTGACAAAGCAAATGTGGGTTGCACGACACTCACAAGTTGAAGGTATGCTGACGGGAAGGCTTCAGCATTTGTCCCGTGGGTTTATGAATGACCTCTTGAACAAGTCTAGACTTGTCAGCCGAATGCGTGTATCAAAGCTGCCACAATACTCCAAATATATTCCCTTGAACAGGATCCTGTTGGTGCCGGCGCAGGGCTGTAAGACCCGTGATCCCAAGGTAATTCTTCTTTTGTCAGTTCGTGAGGCCAAGGGCCGTTCCTTTTCTTGGGTCTTTTGTTCTGCCATTTATACTTGTCCGGCGAACTGCAGCTCAGAGGTGAGATTTGCTATGTGTCAGGCGAGATCAGGCAAATGAGGCTGGGTCTTTGCGAGAGAAACCATCAGAACGTTCTATTTGTGTTACTCAAAGTCATGCAATCAAGAACCATGGCTGGTTGTTCTGTGTTTCTGCTTTGCCGCTGGGCACAGGGTGGTGTTGACAGACACTCCGCGTCTTCCTAAGACCTGCAGCTGTTCAGATTTGATCTTAGAATTGGTAAATCCTTGACTCCAGCTGCTTGAAAAATGAAGATACATTCTTTTTGAACTTGACCCATTAGAGCTTTAGCAGAAGATCTCAATAGATCAACCAACCGTTTTGCTCCTCCCCTCTGTACATCGCACAGTCGCACAGTCCTTCTGGTTTGGTCTTCTTAGGCCGTGCGGTATGAATCCGCGAGAGGAGCAACCTATTTGTGCTAACATCAGCCCGAATAGCCACCTGCTGCGACCTCAAGTCTTGCAAGAAAGGCTTCAATGCTGGAAAAAGTGCATCTTCTCGTTTTGGAAGGCACTATAGTGCAGTGCCCTCCTGGATGAGAATCATTCTTCGGAGCTTGGTGCTTGGGGGAGCCTGTTGCCTCTCGTTCAACCTAGTCCTTTCTCGAAGTACGTATATATATATATATATTTATGTACGAGGGACCTCCATGTATAATGTAACGTGCTCTTGTTTCTAATATATTATAATGCTAATTGTGAGATTTCCTTGTATTCAGAGCATTTGACTTTGCAGAGCACTTCATTTTACAATCCGCTGCCATTTGATTCGTTGCAGGCTGGCCCGACACAGAGGCCTTGATAGGCCACAGGTTGTTCGGCCCGCTCGGGATGACACAGCACAAATCGAAGAAGCATACCAAGAGACGAACACAGATCCAGGGACATTTTTACCACATAGGAATTCATTTGTTTCACTTGTGTTTACTTCGAGCCCACATCCGCGGAAAAGAGAGCCCGCTCGCTACCAGTTGCACATTCGCACTGGTAGCGGAGCTCTGGAAGGCTCCAGCCGTGGCAGATGGTTCACTGGCGTCGAAGAAGTTCTGGTCGGACAATGAGATCGTCGTTGACAAGGAGGGAGTGCCTCATTTTACAGGAGTTCAGCCAAATTTGATGAAGGAGTATAGACGCAGAGTTTTGTTTGCACTTGGGTCACTAGAAGGTGATGGTGACACAGAAGCTGCAGAGAAGAAGGACCTGGAGCACAAGCAAAAGCGTTTTGCTCTCAAGTTGGTGAATGGGCTTCATGATGAGGCATGGCGTGCAGTGGAACATCTGGTGATGGAGCCAGAGCGTCTCAAGAAGGTCGATGGCTACAAGGAGATCCTCTCAGCGTTGCAGAGCATTGAGAAAGAGTCGATCATCAAGAAGGTTTTTTGAAGGCACAATTCGCAAGAGAGGAGAGCCCATCGACCACTACCTCCGGACCAAGCTCCAAGCATGGCAGGATTTACAAGATTTAGATGAGCATTCGGCCATGAGTGAAGACTTGTTGAGTTATTTTTTGTTGAAAGGTTGTGGCTTGTCGCAGTTAGATCGGAGGCAGATTTTGTTGGCAAACAAGAATGCCTATGAGCGCAAAGGCATTGAGCAATCGCTCAGGGTGTCATTCCATGATCTGCATGAAAGCGAGAAGAGCCAGAGCTGGAAACAAGATCTTCGTCGACCTCACCGACATGGCAAAAGGAGTTACCATGTTCATGATTTGGAGGAGGATGAACCGAGGAGTACTATGATGAAGATGAGTGGGAGACAGAAGAGGCCATGAAGGCCATTGCGGAAGAAGAGGATGATGGGCTAGACTTTGCATCAGATTGTGGAGCTGAGGATGACCAAGAGATCTATGAGGCCTATGTGGCCATGGACAAGAAGGAGGCAAGACAGCGGTTTCGCGGAGTTCAGAAGTCCAGAGGCTTCTACAAGAGTCCCATGCAGGAAGATCGTCAGCAGTTGGTGGACAAGGAGAAGAGCCGTAGTCAGTGTGCAGCGTGCCACAAATTCGGTCATTGGGCCGGAGACCCATCGTGTCCTCGCAGTGGGTCCTCAGGGCCACCTCGGAGCAAGGGAAAAGGCAAGGGCAAGAAGAGTGGCAAATCCAAAGGTCGTGGCAAGTCACCGTACATGGTTTCATCGGTACCCACCTTTTTCAACCTCGGTGATTTTGATGAGGATGAGTTGAATTTGGTGATGGAGACAGAGGAGATGAGCTACATGGTTCATGGTCACGATTCGGAGGAAGAGAGTCAGATGCCCCAAGACTCGGGTTACACCGAGTTAGATGATCGTCGCAAGAAGCCAGCGACCTATGCCAAGTCGGAGTGGGAGCAGATTAGCGTGCCACCAATGCCCAGTGACCAGGTTCCTTTCATGCCAGAAGCTGCACCCTCAACACAGACGCAGGGACGTTTGGTTTCAGCATCTCAGGAGATCATTCGTCCAACGGTGCATGCCCAGGTTGAGACCATGGAGGTGGAGAGCTTGAAGCAGTCACGGCCTTCAGATTTGTTGAGCATGAAGGCATTTCAACTACAGGAGCTATGTCAGGTATTCAGACATCGGGATCAAAGCAAGACCTCCGTGACCGGCTTGAGAACTTATTCAGTGGAGAACTAGTCCCAAAGAAGAACTGCGCTATGAAGTTCATTCGTTTGGTGGAGGAAGCCGGGGATTCGACAGGGAAGCCAGGTTGCAGTGGCATATTTCGAGGTTCAGCAGCCGCAGCATCCAGTCCACAGACCCCCACATCATTTCCAGAGTCAGCTCGCGGAGGGAGTCCGCACCCGTGGCCAGGCGGCCATCGCAAGCATGTCGCCGAAGCAGAAGGCTGTGGGAGAGATCGCAGTCGCTGATTTGGAAGTGGGAGTGCCTTTGGATGCTTTGGTATGTCATCAGTGCAATGCAAAGATGGTGTTGCGCCGCAACCGAGTCAGCGGCAATCCCTTCTTCGCATGTGAGCGATTCCTACTCACCAAGTGCTCATTCACACGCACTGCGGACGTCGGCTTGGAGATTCTCAACGGCCGTGTCTCGGGAGCCAAGAGGTTCCCATACGGTTCAGAGTAAAGAGACAAGCCGAACCCCCGGGTTCGACGGGGGACTGCGTGAAGAGATGAATTCAGCATTGTACAGAGCAGTTGAACATGTTTTTGCTTTTGTTGCCAAAGATGGTACAGAAGAGGAAATCAAGGTTGACACTAGAGCGGAAAGCGCTATGAGGGCACATCATCAGCTGAAAGAGGGTTCGGGCATAAATGAAGCCAGACTTGCACTCGTAGACACAGCTTGCACATCCTGTATGCGTTCCAAGCAGTGGCGCATTGAGTACAGCAAGACATTACCAGAAGGTTTTGAGTGTGTTGAGACGAAACAATCCAAGGTTTTTCATTTTGCAGACGGTTCAACAACTACCACCAGAGCGCCGGTGTGGAAAATCCCAATTTTCTTGGGTAACCGGCCGGGTTTCGTGCAATCAGCAGAGATTCCAACAGGCACTACACCTTTGTTGTTGAGCATTGCTTCATTGGTAGCTTTGGACGCTGTTTTGTTTATGAGGAAGAAGGTCATGAGGGTAGGAGAGTTGCAGATGGATCTAGAGCTAGTTGAAACAGGAACAAAGCATCTTGCAATACGTGTGGCTTTTGACAAAAAGTTGACAGGAGTTTTGAAAGAGCAGAAAACCGCACCATCTTGTCAATCGTCGAATGATGATCTTTTTGTCTATTTGGGCCAGGAAGCTGCATATTCCCTCATGTTTACAGAAGCAAGACCAAACATGCCTCCCGAGTTGGAGCTCAGTTGTTCGGCGCATTTTGGCCCCCGTGGAATTCGAGCAGATGACAAGCGTGGGGAGATTTCGCTGCGCAGAGCAAAAGAGTTGGCCAAGACAATGACCCGTCTTCGTGTTGAAGACAGCCGGACATGGGTTGCAATCCGTAGGGAATATTCCTTAGCAGAGCAAGCAGCTACAGAAGGGTTTACAACGACAGGTTTGTTTGAACCATTTGGTGGTCGCTTTGGGACAACGAGAGTAGCAGCAAGCGAGTGGGGCTGGACCTGCTCGCAAGTGCTTGATCGGTCGGACGGTTACGACTTGCTCAGCAAGACAGGTCGACAACTGTTGTGGAATGTTTTGGTGAAGCGCAAACCGTTCCTTGTCCTCATAGCATTTGACTGCCGGATTTGGTCGATCATGACAAACATGAACCCGGAAGTGGCTTGGGCAGAGTTGCGAAAGACAGTTGGCTTGCAGACATTGAGGTTGGTGCGTGATGTTTGTCGTTATCAGTGTGAGCATGGTCGTTTCTATTTATATAGTAGAAAAATACACAATCCTCTTTAGCTTGGAAGTACAATGGTTTGTTGACAACTCCTTTGCAATATTTTGGAGGCAAATTTGCAGTGGGAGACCAGTGTTGTTTTGGCAAACGAGACTTGATCAGTGGCCTTTCAGAGAGAAAACGAACAGGCTGGTTGAGCAACTCAGAGGTTTTGCTGAATCAAATTTGTCGTCAGTGCACGTGTCCAAGAGGAGCGCGTGAACAGGTTGTCGGCAACAACAGTTTGGGCAATCGCGCAAAACAGGCGGCAGAATACCCCATTGGTCTTTGCAGAGCCATTTGTCGTGGTGTGACCAAAGAGATGGAGATGCAATATGTGTTGAAAGAGCTGCGAGGAGAACATGCTATGCCCGTCGTAGACACCGAACCAGAAGATGCAGAGATGGATGATGCTTTAGCTCGGATTCCAGGGGAATTAACAGAGGCTCAGGACAGCTGGGAACTTCGTGAGGATCTAGGCCAGTTGATCCGACATCATCGAGTGCCCCGGAGAGCATTGTTTCTTCCAGTGGATGGCACTGACGCACCAGTGCTGATGGATCGCTTGACATCGAAGCGGACAGTCCATGGAAGCAACCTTGGTGAAGAGCAAACTTTTTCTTTCGACGACGATTGGACTGATCGTCAGGATGGAGGACGCGATCTCGACCGTTTCTGGACAGGAAACACAGTCTTTCATCTACATCCACAAGAATTGGCACAAGTTTCGGAACATGCTGCTCCGAGACAATCAGATGAGCCGAGGGCTTTGAGACGACGTCGTGCTAGAACAAGACAGTTGCAAAGAGGCCTATGGACCATTGTTTCCGGTCAAGTGGTCAAGACTTGACAGAACTGCCCCTGGAAATGTACGACGAATCTGGTGCAGCTGGAGGATGGATCATCATGCCATCCGATTCCGAAGTGTCAAAAGAGTGGAAAGCACAAGAATCTGCTCAAGCGGATGTTCGCTTGATCATGACAGCCAAAGATGCCAAACGCCCTCGCAAACCACAACCACACTTGCAGGCAGCTCAGGCACCTTTACGAAAGACAATTTTGCTCATGGCCAACAACGACATGTCGACAGGTTGGGAAGATTGGCAGTTCATAGTTGAGACCATTGCCGAGTGCACCGCGGAAGTTTTGTATCACCATTTTTGGTATGCATGTAGGTGAGGATGAAGGTGAAGTTGAGGCAGAAGGCGAGGCTCCCCCAGATCCGCTTAGTAAAGA